AGTGAAAAGCAGAAGTATTGTGTATCTTTGGGATGAAATCTCTTTAGCTTTCTTAACTGCCTCCATGTTGAAGGTGTATTTTTAATAGGAGTGATTTAATGAGTATAAATCATAGAATCATTCAAATGGTTTGGGTTGGAAAGGACCTTTAAGATCATGTAGTTCCAACCCCCTGCTATAGGCAGAGACACCTCCCTCTGGACCAGGTTGCTCAGAGCCCCATCCAGGCTTTGGATGTGGTGTAATAGAAAGGGCAGGGAATTGTGAGGCCAAAATAATGGCAGGAAGCCATTTTCTCTTATTCTGGTTCTGGAAAGGTTTTGTTTTTCCATTCATTAAATGTTTTATTAGCTCCTCCTGTGTTTAATATTTCATATGCTCACAGGTGAAACTTATTGTGTGAAGTTTAGTAGGCTCCATTTGTTAAGAGATGCATGTTGGAGAGTCTTGGGTGTAAGGCTGGTTAGTTGCTTTCCTGCATAGAACCCTGTGATTGGAGCTATATATGGAATTATGTCTTCCAGACCAAGGCAAAAAATGTCCCCCATGGGCAGAGTTTGATAAAAATGAACTTTACAGAAGACAGCATCAGCATCTTTTCTTCTTTACAACACTTAGCTTTTGACTTTTAAAACAAGAATAATTTGATTCTTTGCTCTTTATATGTCACTGTTAGGAGTTCTTTCTAGCTTATTGCTGTTATGTTCTTGTGCTGAAAAGTGTATAGTAACTGTAATTATTACCCTTAGTTACAGTAGAGTAAAACTTAACACGATGATGCAAATTTAAAAAAAAAAAAAAAAAAAAAAGGGAGTCTCATTTTCTTTAATATATGAAAGAGGAGATTAAAGGAGGGCTTGATCATAGATCATTAGTTTTGTGAGGGCTCTCCTAGGGGAAAAACTAGGTAACAAGGAGATTCTTCACTGAACAGGCAGAGGGAGAAGACTGTTCAGTAGTTGAAAGGATATATGTGTGTATTTAAAAAAAAAAACATATATATATATGATATCTATGACAGTGTGTATATAACATTGTGTATTATAATTTTATACGTACTTCTAAATCTGTGACTATTTTCATCTCTGAAAATAAACTAAAGATACTTTCAAAAATAATACTATGATGTTATCTAATTTAAACAAATTAATTATGGGAAGTTTGATGGCTTGCATAACACTGGGTATTGACCCCCCTGAACTGTATAATCTGAGTCTGTTCCAGCTGATACTTTTTAGGAGAGGCATTATGCACCTATTCTACTGAGAGATTAGTTCCAGGACAATGCAGAGCCTTACCATGCCATCTCTGGATATTTTAACCCTCTGTGATTAGGCAGCTTGTCCCAATGTGCTGAGGCAGAATAGATTTAGGGGATTAAGTTTCATGTGTGTGGCCTGAAGGCTCTACAAAAGTACATAAAAACAAGGCTTGGGTGCGTTCGTGCTTTGGAGAGGAGGTGAGGGAAGGATGTGTTGTAAAATGTCTGGGAAGTTGCCACATCTATGGAGGTGTGATTGGAAATAGATGGAAAACCTCTGATTGTATGCAATTAAGAGAGTAGCCTGAAAAACAGGTGGAGTGGGGTCATACAGAAGACAAAATGGGTGAAGTCGTATTGGTGCTGGAGAAAATCCTGGTGGCAGACTGCCAGACTGGGATCTGGGCAAGGAGAAATGACAAAAATGAGCTCTTTCACATCTTAGAGTGTGGGCGCTGCCTGCTTTGCAGGCAGAAGTGACCACATTAAGTCATGAGAGTGGGAAAGGTCTGGCTGTAAGCAGAAAAATAAGAAAGTTTTCCTATTTGATGTGTGGGGCTGGGAAGGGAGGAGGAAATTTTCCTAAAGGCAGTGCTAGAGCAGAAATCGACTCCCTGGATCGCACACTTAGTGCAGGTAGAAAGACTTCAAGAGCTATGAACTTAAGGTAATCCACTTGGATGATTCATAAGGTTTGAAAGGATTCATAAGGTTTGAAAGTAAGGCATTTGTGTTTTCTCATCATGCTAGCTTGTTGCTGAACTTATAAAGAACAAGAAGTGTCCCTTGAACACATCACGGGTTGGATGGTGAAGATCTCAACGGCACGTCATCTTTGGAAAGACATTCTGCTGGTTGGGTCACAGGCTTCCGTTGGCTCTGCTGGTCTCTGGAGTGGAGTCTTGCTGTGGTCTGATAGTCACACATGGGCACATGCAGCTTTCTGTTGTGCTGGCTTTTGTAACAGTGCTTGGAGGTGCTGCTCAGTTTCAGGCCAGGGAGCTTACTGGCAGGGCTGCCGTGGAAAGCTTTTCTGCAGATGGCAGCAGAACAGGTTGCTTGTCTGTCCCGTCATCTCTGGAAATCGTGCAAATCCTTTATGTTTAGGCACGCGGTTTTTCTTTGTGGTCATTCTGAGCCTTTATTTAGTATCAGGAGGGAAAAAATCATTTGGTACATTTCATAACTGCATGAATTCCTCTGTGTAGAAAATTGATTCTGAAACTTGAAGCATAAGAAAAAAGTGAAAATGTGAAGAAATGGTAATAATTATCAATCTTCATTTTACAAGGCAGTACTAAAAGCTTTTTGGATCTGCGGGTCGAGTTGGATTTTTAGGGTGCAGAAAAAGTTACTTAATTTTGAGAACATGTTTTCCATCTTGATCTTGTGAAAAAGTCATTTAGGCTTCATTGTACCAGAGGGCAGGGTGAGAGACATGTCTGAAACTTCAGAAACCCTCAAGCTTCATGCTTGGAAGAACAATTGATCGCTAATCCGGGGTGGGCAGTGCAGAGGCAAAAGAATGAGCATTTCATTGCTTTTTGGCTGATGTGAAGGCATAAAAATAAGGCATAGCCCACCCAGCTGGTATTTTCTAAATATTGTATGCTGTAGGCAAGGTGCTACAATGTATTTTGCTCTGCTTTGCAGTTGGGTCGGATGCTTTTTTGGAAAGGCATATGATGAGTATCACTTTGAACTTTGAAGACTATTGCTTTTTACTTAGAATTAAAAGCTACTTTATTACAGAATGCTAGTTAATTTAGAACAAAGTAACTTTATCACAAGCTTATGTATGGGAATGCCAGTCAGGTTTTATGATGAGTGGATGCTGCTGCTAGCAGATCGAGTTTGTTAGCAAAGGAGCTACATAACTCCTGATTTTGCTTATTTTGTTTAAAGAGAAAAAGGATGATTGTGTATAGAGAGAGAATCTGTGACCTATTTTATGTACTCCAAATGCAAATACTAGCTCTGAAATATTTATGCCTATTTTGCACATCCTATAGTCATTCCCCTCTGAAGTGTCACACAGTGGGATAAAATGAAGCTTTTGGCATAAAATTTCTGAGAAATACTCCTGACAGCGATGCACATCCCTGAGTTGAAAAACTGCTTGTCAGCAGTAAAGAGAAGATAGTGCTTTGTGCAGGATGTTAACTTGAATCAGAGTGTGTGTCTGCTCATATAATTTAAGTGTGCTGTGGCAGACTAATTCATTCAGAGTCTCTTAACAGCCAGCAGGCACTGGCACGGTCACAGTGGATCAGTAGGCAGTGTTTGGACCCTTATGTTTCCATTAGGTTCTGGAACAAGTTTCATGTGCCTGCAGAGGAGCATTTTGGCTTAGTTTCCTCTGAAAGGGGTGTAATTTGAGCTCTCTGCGGGTGCTCTGTGATCCAAACCAGCATGTGCTAGGTGAGGGGATCCTGGCAGTCTTCTTCAAAATGATGCAGCCACTCCAAACAAAACACTACTGTAGATGCAGCCTGTAAAGCTTCAGGTATGAAATATGCCTGAAGCTCTGCGTATACAGGTCTTCAACTTCAATGTGGCATAATTGAAAGTGGCAACAATGAAGGAAACAAGTTCCCAAAGTTTGATTTGAACAGAGAACCTAAATACTCTGTTCCCTGATTTTATTTGCGTGTTGCTATGCTGCTGATGTCTTAGTAGCCTTACCTTTAGCCTTACTTTTCCACTATCTTTAAGGCTGTACGTGTGTTTGAAATAATGTATTTCTTTGAGAACCTGGAAGCACTTTTAAAAAAAAAATAATAATAATAATAATAATAATCTTGAAGTTGATTCAGCAAACAAATTATTAGTTAATTACAGCTGGAATAATATGCTGTGATGTTGGCCACAGCTTTTTGTTCCTGGTAGTTAACTATTAAACAAATTGAGTCACAAATTTCCATGGTCTGCTTTAGTCACAGAGCTAGTTCATGAGTTCAGTTCTGACAGTGATGTGGAACTGTGGATGCAGGGAACCAATACATTTGTGATATATAAGAAGTCTGGGTTGGCTGTTCTCCTCAAACTTGTTTATCAGAAACTGAACAAACTGAAAAAAAAAAGCTGGAATTTCTCAGTAAGGAATTAGTGAGGAATTAGGACACTTCTGCAACTTGTTGAATATTGTTCTTTTCTTTGAAAATGTGCTTAGGTAAAATCAAGGATTACATGGAAGTGTTCTTTTCTGTTCTGAGAAGCAGGAAGGCTCATGTTTCTTCCTTTACTTTCTGTTATAGCAAATGGGCTTTCCTTTCAGATAATATGTGGGCTTTGGGATCCCTCCTCCCAAATTACTACTTTTTTTTTTTTTTTTTTTTCCGTATTTTTGTTGCTTAAAAAAAATCTTATTATAATGAGTACAAGAAGTCATCTGGATAAACTAGAATGTCTGATTTCAAGGTGTGAAACAAATCATGCAGGTTACTCTTCAGCAGTGCATCCTGTATGTACAGAAATATCCAAGGTTATGGGCTAGTTGTCAGCTTGAAGTTAAGAGGTGAACCTTCAGGGAAGATGCTGCTGTTTGCATAAATGTTTGTGTGAGTGGGGCTGTGACACAGTACTTCGGCTCAGGCAGCAGGAATCTTGCTGTCCTCCTGAAAAATGAGAATTTTTCAGTCAGTAAAAAAATACTTTTTCAGGTCTCTTATGTTGTTTGTGTGCTTTTCTTTCTAATGGTGAACTTTTAATGGCTCTTTTTTTGTTTCTTTTAAAACAGAATTAGACCACAGCTAGCCAAAGAGAAGATTGAAGGATGCCATATTTGTACATCCGTGACACCTGGTGAACCTCAAGTGTTCTTGGGAAAAGATAAAGCCTTCACTTTTGATTATGTGTTTAACATTGACTCACAGCAAGAAGAAATCTATGTACAGTGTATAGAAAAACTGATTGAAGGTTGCTTTGAAGGCTATAATGCAACTGTCTTTGCTTATGGCCAGGTAAGCTTTACAACTTTATTTAAAATATTTATTTTGAAATAAACACAAACTGTTTCTTGTAATTGATCTTTCTTTTAAGTTTCGCAGCGCACGAACCTGGTTTTGGTGGCTTGGTTTTAATGTAAACAAGATATTCTTTAGAATATTGTTTAGGAGCCTGTACAGATTGTGTGCTTAATGGCAACCGGAATGCAGCAGATGTGTATGAGTAGTAGGCTTGAATTAATAGTAGCAGTGAAAAGTTACTGTTTCAGATGTTTTGGGGAAGGGGATGTTTGGTATCTGTTAATGGATTCTGGAGAACTCCATGCTACTCTTTTTCTAGGGACCAGAATCCAGAGTCTTTTCCTAAAGAACAGATACCTCCCCCCATCAGTAAATGGGGCACAGTTTTTTAGCTGAAAGCTGAAGTATCGTTGAGCACAGAGAATACGTTGTTGTCTTCTGAATTCTCTTTAAGGAATTTATTACATGGAAGTTGATCTTAGTGGGAGGCTGAATGTCAGTACCACTGAATGTCTTATTTCAAGTTAGCTAGGTGAAGTCTAGCCCTGGTGAAACTAAGCAGTTGGTAGACCCAGTTTAGTAGATTATGTTTGACAACATGATACTATCTTTGTCTTGGACTTGACCTGCTAATTAAATAAAAACCCACACTATCTTATTTTCTGTAGGACTTCACTTTTGATTAAGCTATTTTCCTGGTCAGGGTACAGATGCTTTGTATAGGTTGAGAACAGTGGTAATATTTCTCCTGAGTGATATTCAGGCATCTTAATTAAGCAAACTGTTTAATGTACTTCAGTAGAGAACTGCAAATGCTGATTTTACTTAAAAAAAGAGCTTTAATCAGTCTCATTTGAAAACATTAACTATTCTTTTGGCCTCATATGATAACTTAAGGCTGATGTAAGCAGCTTAGAGGAAGCTTATAGGAGAGAGGTTAAGAAAATTTGAACTGGTCCCCACCTGTGTTGTATTTGATCTGTAGGTCAAATTTGTCCAACAGCTGCACTTTACACATTTTGTAAAAAGACATTTTTGTTGCACTTAGTATTGTAAAAATGACAAAAACTGTCTTTGTAATCTCTATCTAGTAATAGTTCAGAAATCACTTTTCACTGTGATAATCCGTATGTTCTAGTGAGTGCTACTTTTCTATTTAGACAGGTGCTGGCAAAACGTACACCATGGGCACTGGATTTGATGTCAACATAACAGAAGAGGAACAGGGCATTATATCACGTGCTGTTAAGCATCTTTTCAGATGTATTGAAGAAAAGAAACAAGCTGCTATTAAACAAGGACTTCCTCCTCCAGATTTTAAAGTTAACGCACAGTTCCTTGAGGTAAGTGTGATCTGTGCATGTGGTTGTGTGTATAACTTCATGTATTTTGCAAAGCAAATGAAATTCTTTTTTTTGGTTGCTACTTTGACCCTTCTTTTCTTTTCCCACAAGATGTTTTGAATTAATTTTCCAGATTTCAAAAGGAAATACAATATAGTTTGTTTGCTTTGTTGTTGTTGTTCTTTTAATTTATGAAAAGAGCCTTTTTATCTTATTCCAATTATCAGGGTAGCTTTCTTTACTGGGTTATTTTGAAGTGTAGAAATAATTATGGTGATTGTCATTTGTCCTTTTCTATACCACACATTTACTCATGGGAGCTATTGCTGTTGCTTGTCTATTATTCTTCATGAAACTTTCAAAGCAAGAAATCAGTAATGCTTTACATCTTGAACCATGCTTAGCCTGTTTGTGTAACTTTCCCATAGACGACTTCAGTTTTCAAAATCTGTTCAGTACACTTGGTTGATTTCTTTAATGAAAAAAAGAAAGTTAGCATAAAATACTTTGTGATTTTCAGTGGCATAGAACTGGGCTTCTGAGTCATTACTTCTTGCAATAGGCCCAGAGAAATCCCAGGTCAGTGCTGCAGAAAAGCAGTTCCCTTTGTTCTTGTAGGCACAGCTACTAATGAGAGGCTGTAACTCTCATGATCATTCTGTTCTGCAGCAGCTGTTGGTTTAAGTCTTACAGCTTTTATGCTGAAACTTATTCCAATATATCTATTTTCTAGATTAATTGCTTTGACTATAATATTTATGTTCTCTGCCAACATATAAAATCTTATGTGATATTAACAGGGACAATCAATTTCAGGAAGAGTTTGTTTTAAATGTGTAATATTTAGTTCAGTATTTCACAACTTTGTCAACAGTGGGGGGAGAAAAACAATACCACATAATCTTTTGTATTACCTAAGAGACAAGCTGTACGCCTTGTTATTGCTGAAGTAAACTAGGTCTTCCAGTGTTCTATACCTGTAAGTGTTTTAATTTTTAACAAACTGCATTGATTTGTCACTGTTAATCTTAAGCAGTGGTTTTAGTCCCTCTGGGTACTGTTTGCCTAGAGAGAATTCTGAACTTGAAGAAGGACAGTGGAAATGCTGTGTGAAAGAAGCTGTTGATTTTTAGGGTGGCATAATAGTAAGATGCCCAGATTTGCAACTGTTCCATCTGTCATGCTATTGTCATTGTAAGTTTGTGTTTTTCACAGCATCCTTTATTGAAAGCCTTGGCATATGGTGGATATTTAGAACCTTCTGTATATGCCATGCACATGTATATCAGTCTTTGGAGGAATTCTTTTCTTACATTATATAATTTTTTTTTTTGCCTTTTCTTTCTCCTCAGCTTTACAATGAAGAAATTCTTGATCTCTTTGATACCACTCGTGATATTGATGCAAAGAATAAAAAATCAAATATTAAAATACATGAAGATTCAGCTGGAGGAATTTATACTGTGGGAGTTACAACCCGAACTGTGAATGGAGAATCAGAGGTGACCATTGAAAATAAGTTTCTCTGTAGCATACTGAATGTGTTCTAAAAATGCTACCTGTATGTTTTGCTAAATGTCATTATACCTTTCACGCTTCATTCTTACTCTTCATCCTCATGTAGTAATGGTTGTAACACTTTTCAGAACTTAATTCTGAAGAAATCTTAAGAAGCAAGTATAGTTAACATTCTGTTCAATGAGCAAATAGAGATTACACTTGCTAACATCAGCTTTCTGCCTCTTAGACAATTTGGGTGCAGACTGAGTTGAAATTTTCTTTTGTTTCTCTAGACTGAAATGTAATGTCTAATATCAGTGTTCCCTTAATTCCAGAGACAGTCATTTGCAAACAGTGTTGTTCCATTGGAAAGTAAAATTTTGACTTGTATCCCAAATCTCATTTGTTACTTTTTCCCATGACAGGAAAAGTTTGCATGATGACTGATGTGAGGTAAACTGCCATTCAGAAGAGTCTGTACATTGCAACTCTGATACAGTGCCATTGTACTGTATGTTTTTGTACAGAAAGTACAGAAGTCGTATATTTGTGCTAGAGATGAATGGAGCATTGCCATCTCATTACCAAGGGTTTCTTTCAAAACCAAACGACAACAACAAACCTTATTTTAAAAATCTTACTATTTTTTGCATATAGGAATTGTTAACAAGGAGAAAAAGCTTACTTGTATCTAAACCAAAGCAATAGGTGTTACAAAGCACATTTTATTTAAATTGCAAGCCATGCAATGTCCTTCTTTGTCTGTTTTCCAGATGATGCAGTGCTTGAAGCTGGGGGCTTTGTCTCGAACCACAGCCAGTACTCAGATGAATGTTCAGAGCTCACGGTCGCATGCTATCTTTACTATACATCTATGTCAGACCAGAGTTTGTCCTGCTTTTAACACAGTACGTGTCTTTGCTGTGATTGTGTTATTTGCTGGCTTCACTTTAACCATTTTTCAGAATGTGAATATTGTTTTGGCAGCAATTGACATTTGAATTACACTTACTAAAGATGCTACAGTCATCATCATGCTCAATGAATTTGCTAAGCATTATAATAATTTGATTTAATCTGTGCATATGTAACCATCTTCTAGCCAGAGGCAACAATAAATTGCAGCCTCCTACATGAACCTGCCCATTCTCCTCTAGCGTTTTCTTCTGGATTTTGTTGCAACATACCCCAGTAACCAAGTTAAAATATAATTTGTATTTAATTGGAAAAGCATTTTTAAGTGTCTTAACAGTTAGTCGGCTTAAGGTTACAGTCAGCTAACTGAAAGTGCTGGCTATTCCAGGTGAAGTGCTGGTTTCCAGCAAGGAGCAAGAAAAAAAAAAGCATAAGATTCTGACAATTAGTGTTTTTATTTTAGTTATATCAGTTCATTGTTTAGGTGTGTTGTAACTTCATGCAGTTATTTCGTTGAACTCCTGAGTATGTAGGTATATAGATAATGTGTTTTTAAGCACATGGAACAGTATACTGGATTTGTAATAATTTTCAGGGGTGGATTCTTTCTTTTATTTTTTAACACTAAAAATAATCATTTGCAGGCAAAATGAGGGTTGCCCTCTGGTCCCCTGTGGTATGTAGACCTGCTTTAGACCTTGTTAGAAGCACTTCTTCCTGCATTGCACATCAGAACTGTGGACTTGGTGGTGAGAGCAGTGGTCTCCTCACTTGGAGAGGAACTGTCAGGGTACCTGAATCACTGTGTGGTGGAGGTGTCAGATTGGAGGCTGTGCTTGAAGCTGCCCACATCACTCACTGCATGGCTCAGCCAGGGGCATCAAGAGCAGCCTGCCTGCTGTGGGCACTCTTCAGCAGCTGGGATGTTTCAGCTCAAATACAGAGCCTTGCAGGACTCTCCTCTGGCCCTGGCTGGTTTGTGAGAGAGGCTGGCGTGAAGAAGGGGAGCTGGCTACTGCCTTCTGCTTTGTGACAGGCTGTGTTTTCGTCCTGTTTTTGAGAGTTGTGAGCAGGATGGTGTCAGTGTCTGGAGTAGGACACTTGGATCCTGACTCTTTACAGCTGTGAGGGCAGCACCCTTGCCTTTCCTTGCAGCATTCAGGAGAGCAGAGGCCAGGCACATAAACACAGCCTGAATACAAATTTATACAAAACCTTTATGGACAGCCGGGAGAAATCCTGCTCAAGTTTGCATTGTTGCTGCCTTCTGTAGTGTAAGTTTTGGGAGACTTTTATTGTGAGGGCAGCAGCTTCTCCAGGGCTGCTGGCACTGTGCTTGTGTTCTCTGGGGTGGATGATCAGGGCACCTGCATGCTCATGATAAAAGCTAACTTTATTACTGTACTTTGGAGTATGAAAGGAAAGAAACTAAGGAGCTAGTCCCTGCTCATGGTGCATTTCCCTGGCAGACTAGCTGTGCTGCCTGGGGTGTGCTGGAAGTGTTTGTTCTTGCTGTCCACAGAGCAAAAAGAGAGGAAGGTCCAGGCCATCCTATGATTCTATGATAAGCTCTTCTTTTTTCCATGTTCCTTCTGCTGTCCTTATTTCCTGGTCAAACTGAAAGTACTGATGGAATGCTGGCTGCTGGGGAAACTGGCATAAAAAATGTGTGAAGTAACATTGAACACACAAGTCACAGTGAAACTGATAATGGGGATTGGAGAGATGTAAAATCGAAGTAACTTCAGCTTGTTTGGCAGGTTTACAAACTAAGTTTTTCTGCAATTTTGCATGGTAATAATGTCATAACCATTTCATTTAATATTTTGTAAACATCTGTTTATCCCCCCAAAAACCAATTGTAGGCCTTACTTAGAAATAATAGATATTGACTAGCATCTAGAGGTGGGTCTTAAAGACTGATATGTTAGTAAGTATTACTGAAACAGGTTTTCTCAAGAAATGCTGTTGCTATTACAAGAGAATTAGTACATAAGGAAGAGATAGACATTACAAAAAGCTATTCCTGTAAATAATTGTTGATTGAATTTTGTGATTGACTAGCATAAAGTATCTTACCAAGCTTTTTGGGTTCTCCTTTGTTTCAGGATAATGCCACTGATAACAGGATAATATCTGAATCTGCTGAGATGAATGAATTTGAAACTCTTACTGCCAAGTTCCATTTTGTTGACCTCGCAGGATCTGAAAGGTTAAAGCGAACGGGAGCTACGGGAGAAAGAGCAAAAGAAGGCATTTCCATCAACTGTGGACTGGTAAGATTTTGCAATTAGTTTCCATAGGCTGTTGGTACAGACTGTATTTCTCAATCCCTTGCTTCTGATAATTCCTAAAAGTAGAAGTATATCATGTGCAAATGAGGCCTGTAGAATAAAATGTAATAGAACAACATATTGATTCTTACGAGGTTCTAGCTTGCTTACAATTTCTGGGTTGCACTAGATCCTAACTAGAAAGTTACGCTGCTTATTAATTGTTGTGAAGTATAGATAGTTAAAATACCTTGTGGAGTTCCTTTCACTTATTAGTTTTTTTAAATTCCTTCAAGACTCGAACAATTGAGGAAAATTTGCAAGTTGTTTGCAAGCAGTAGAGGCATGGAAAGCATCAACAGTGGGCAAATTCAACTGATAATTAAATGCTGGTTCTATGTTACTGTTATGAAATGTAGTGTAAAACAACCCTAGGCAAAACATTTCAAAGTGGAAAAAACATTTTAATTGATAGCATCACTTCATTTTTTTTTTTTTATCTGTGTACTGGCTCTTTATGCATTTTTTTTAATTAGCTATTAAATATTGTGCTTATGAGTACATTTGAAAAGTAGAACTTGTGGTTATCAGTAAAGACTGTGGTTTTGCACCTTTGTTTTTAGCTACTTGGCTGTGTGTAGGCTCTTTGAAGACTCAATAGCACAAGTTCATTTCATGTTTGAAAACATATTGAAATATTTTTTTTTTCCTGGTCTAGTGTATAGTATCAGGGATGCAACAGGAATTTAATTGGTGATCCTCTTACTATCAGGATAGTGGTTATATTTTGTAGTCAGTGGAAGAGGATTCACTTCAGTTTCATCATTGACATAAGCACAGAGTCAATGGAAACCTGGGCTTTTAGTAAGGCAAATATATCCTTAAAGAAATGAGATACAGGATGTCCAAGGGTGAAAATGAAAGTGGCAAAAATATTACTTAACATAAGCACAAAACTTTCATATTTTCCCTGAATTCCACCCCTCAGCTTTGGGAAATACAGACAAAAGTGGTTTAAACAGTTCCAAACATTTACGGGAAGTGGAGTACATGCGTTTCTGTTGTTGTTGGATACAGTAAAACAATTGCAAGACTGTATTAAGAATTGATGGTGCAGAATGCCACCTAGAGGAATGTGTTTTAATTTGCATGTGAATAATCCTGTTAAAATATGTGGAGTTGTGCATTAAAAATAACTTCACAGGCAAATGTTTGGCTGATTATAAACATGAAATAAAGCTTTTTTTAGTAGTGCGATTGCCATCGACTACATAATTTAAAGCCTTAAATAGTTGAACTAATTTGCATTTGAAGATTTTTATCCATAGAGCAGTAAATTCTGTTTATCACAGTAATGCTCTGTGTATTATTCTAAGCTTATCATAAAGCAGCTTGATAAAAAATAATTTTTAAAAAGAACATGGCTGCTGTTAGGGACGTAGATGAGCTGTAATAGTCATTGAAACAAAATGTTTGTTACCTAGAATCCTAGAATCCTTAGAGTTGTATGGGACTTTTAAAGGTCATCTAGTCCAGCTCCCTTGCAATGCACAGGAACAGCTGCAGCTCCATTAGGTGCTCAGAGCCCCATCCAGGCTGACCTTGAAAGTCTTCAGGGATGGGATGAAAGGGTTCCACCACATTTCTGGGCAATCTGTTCCAGTGCTTCACTACGCTCACTATAAAAGACTTTTTCCCTATATCTACCCTAAATCTACCCTCTTTCATGAAGTAGTTCTAAGTTTAGTTTGTTACTGATGTGAGATATCAACAGACAGTGCACACCATTGTGCTAATCTCTTTTCTCCTGAGGATACAAGACCGCAAGTCATTTGATTCACTGTTAGCATGGAAATTTGTAAACTGTACAACATAAAAAGCATTTTAGTATGTTAAGTTTTGTGTGTTTTCTTGTTCTTCCACAATTTATGACCTCAGTTTTTAACTTATTTTAAAACAAATCTACTCAGGAATTGAGTTTAACTTCTGTGCTATGTGATTTGGTGTTTTATAGCTGGCACTTGGCAATGTAATAAGTGCACTGGGAGATAAAAGTAAGAAGGCAACTCACGTACCATACAGAGATTCAAAGCTTACAAGACTACTCCAAGACTCTCTTGGGGGAAACAGGTATGAAAACATTGTACGTGCTTCATTTTGAATGAAAGTGAGTGAGTACATCTTCCAAAAGTAAAATAACCCTTACACCTGTCACCGTGATAAAAAAAATAAATCTGTGCTGGAGGGACTCCACAAAAAAAAAAAAAAAAAAAAAAAAAACCAAAACACTACAGTCATAATAAAAAATGCTGGCAATGCAAGGAAATACTGTAATGGTTTTTGCATCATTCTTTTCACTGCTGCTACAGCTTTACTAAACATAAGGCTTTGAGTTGCTTTGAAGTTATTGTTTCCAGGTAAAGGGTAAGTCCATCTTAGATGATGGGTGTCAGAAATGTTAAATCTGTTACTGTGTTACAGCGTTATTAATTACAGCATATTTTAAAGCTTTCTGCTTCAAGCAGAGATTTTTTTTAATTGCTTTTTTCCCCTCCTACCTTAATTGTTAAACAATATTAGCATTTGATATGTTGCAGCATAGTAATATACAGGAAGCAACTTTTCTTTCCTCACTGCTGTAAAATTCTTTAAAATATGAAGCTGTAAAACAAAACAAAACAAAAAAACCAGAAAAACAATGAGAACAGTATCAGAATTCTCTCTAGAGAGCTTTATCTGAGTATTGCTTTTTTAACTTCTTAATCTGAAGGTTTATGTTAAGATATGTCCTTGAAACTTTTGTCTCTGATTTCCCTTCACTCCTGTGCCTTACCTGCATATAGTTATGCCATTATTTTTCTTAGAAATGGGTGATACTAATAACTGGATTATTAGTACCAATCCTCTACCATAATTGAAATCAGTCACTATGGAGGTGACTTTTTTGCATTCGAGGGGCCAAAGCTTGGGCTTAAATGTTACTTTGCACTTACTTGCATTTACAAAAATAAATACATTTCATATTTTGAAGTCCTCATAGATGCTGGCTTCTGTTGAAGCTAGGCCTTGTAGGAGCTGGATGAAGGCCTAAAACACAGATTTTGCAGGTCAGGTGGTATAGCTAAGACTGCATGTCCTTGTGGGCACTGCCTCACTGTCTTGTCTGCTCTGATCGCTGTGAGCAGGAGCTTGGTGTGGTCAGTGTCAGGTTCCAGGCACAAAGTACCTTTTTTGAACAAGGCAGCTCAGCACGCGTGCTGCCATCTCTGACCATGGCCTTCTATCTCAGGATATTATGTATGTGTCCAACTATCTGATGGTGAATTAGAAGCCATTAAAATGAAATGTCTGTATCACTAGAACTGTTCTTGTGAATCTGTTCTACGTGTGTATTCTACAGACGTGAGGAAAGAGACTTGGACTCTGGAAACTTTGAGCAAACATGCAGTGTGAGCATGTAGAAATACAAAATCCAGTGTGGTTGAGTACATTTTAGTAAGACAGTATGTATATTCATCTATTTAGTCTGATATGGCTGATTGCTGTCTTTAAGAGAAAGTGAAAGTGTTCTGTTTCACAGAAGAACAGGGAGGAAAAGAACAGAGGAGTAATTTAACTTCAGTTAACTTCAGCAGCCTGCAGCATTGCAGTGTGAGAATAGCAGAGAGACAGCCAAAGTGAGTAAAATAGGGCTGTGATGTTCATTAGTGTTTAAGGGAAGAAGAAACCCAGTAGTGGGGGGGAGGGGGGAGATAAAGGGGAATCAGAAAAGATCATATACATATCTCTAGGCCATTTCTAGAAATAACTATTTACAAAAAAAATAATTTCTTGACTGATTATATACTAAATACAGTAGTTAAAGGTCTTTTTTGAAACTGCACTAACTAAAATGATACTTCAACTCAAAGCATTTTTCTATTTTGTAGCTCAACTGCTCCCTCTCCTGTGCTTCAGGAGGAATCACAGTTTACTGTAAAAGCTCAGCAAATGCTGTCCCAGAGCATTTACAAGAATATTAAGAAATATTATTTCCGTTTGTTCTGACTGATGTTAAATTTTTTCTCTACTCCCACTCTTTCAACCTTAATTTTATTATTTAGCTAATACAAATAAGACAGTTCAAATTAGCAGTTTGCTCTTAAGGAGATGTAATAAACTGTAACACAATTTAAATGATTTCATATCCATGCTTTAGCAAACAAAAACAGTGGGAGAGCTCAATTTTAATAAATATGCAATTTTTCCTCTGGGAAATCAGATTAGATCAATAGAAATCTGTTCCATTGCTTTCCAAATTCCATTGTAGATATTGCAGTGCACATTTATCCTTTCTCTTTGCAAGTATTTACTGGAAAGTGATTCAGGTTACTTTGCAGTGGATCCTGAGTTAGAGATGATTAAAGCATTGTATCAGTCTACTATTCTCACTGTAATCCTGATTTAATTGTAATTCTGTAGTAATTGTGAAGGTGCATTTAAACAGTGATTCTGAGTTATTCTATTAACCTAATTCCCTTAGGTTGGGAGGGGGCATTCTAAAGAAATGTTGAAATTAAAAGTGTAGAACAGTGTTTAAAAATGAGTCTCCTGTAAAATACAGATGGGGAAGTAGAATTCTGGTTAATCAGTTTTCAAGACAGCTAGCAGAACCAGTTGTCTGAGGTTTGAAAAAGTAATCGCATTCTAAATTGATGGCACAACAGTCTTAATTTTGTACATTATCCTGAACTAAACTAAACCTCAGCAGTTTGTGGAGCTGACACAATGATGTGCAGGAGGTCTGAGGAAGACTTGCTAAAATTCATTCTATACTGAGCCTTTCCCATATCCTCAGGCTAGTTTCTCTTTCCATTTAGCTTCCAATGGTGAATATAATTGCTTGGCTTGGAAGGACTGCAAGCAGTAATTTGTTTGTCTCAGCTGAAATTACAGGAGATGAAGATCAGAATCAAGTTTGTCTAATGCAGTCTGTGCACACCTAACAAAACAGCTATGCTTTCATATACAACAAAGGAAAGCGTGTTCCTCCAGCGCCCGATTAGGACAATTCAGTCTACCCAAATATAGGTGTTTCCCATCTGCAGAGAATTTAGGGCATGTTGGCACCATTGGGTTGTGATCTACAGCTGGAATTCTGTTTTTGACCCCTCTGAATTGTTCTCTTCTGTTGTGAAATGAGCATGAGCTCCAGGGATCAAGGGTAGGGTGGGACCTTGTTCCTTCTCCTCACAGTTGATTAACTAAAACACTTGGTGAGAAGGTTTTTGTTTGTTTTCTGTTTTTGTCACCCTGGTTCTTGCTGCTCTGTCTGCTCTGTCTCTTACTTGAAGTATGCCGTATGTACTCACCCTGCGTATCCCACAGTGGGATGGCTAGAGGGTGTTGAAGGAGCCCAGAAGCAGTGTTGGGAATAGAACTCAGCTCCTGCTGCTTTTTGTGGAAGAGCTCTAAGTAATGGTGTTGTGAAAAGTGGGGAAAAAAAAAACCAAACCGCTTATTGCCAGAGGTAATAAGGAGAAATTCTATATTTTGGTCTTCTGTTCGAGTGCAAGAGATGATCTAAAGCAGGAAAATCTGGATCTCAGTAGAACAGTAGGTGGGCAATAGGTACCTTGGGCTGTTCTGGGCACATATGGGCATCCAGAGGTGCACGTTCAGATATAGTAGGTTGGTACCTTGTAAATTAATGTGTCCTGACAACTACATGATCCAAATCACTATTTGAGGCTTCAGGTTGGCTTTAAGAATTTAAATCTCAATTGGTATTAAATTACAAATTATGTAAGTATTAGGAAAGCATTTCTAAGAGCATCCATTAATTGCTTTTATAGTTTTACGCATGATGATCTAATATCTCCTATGCTAAACTAGAGTGATTCATGATGTAACAGTTCTGGAACTTTGTGGTTGACAGTGTTCTACAGTACTTTGAGCTACGTCTAGAATCATTACACAAATATTGTGAAGTCAGTGCTCTTGTTTCACCTTGTACTTGAAGACCTGTTAGCCTGTCTGTCCTCATCTTGTTCTTGATTTGTAAACCTATGTTTGTAACTTGCAGTCAAACACTCATGATAGCGTGTGTGAGCCCTTCAGATCGAGACTTCATGGAAACCTTGAACACGTTGAAGTACGCGAATCGTGCACGAAACATCAAGAACAAGGTGATGGTTAATCAGGATAGGGCTAGTCAGCAAATAAATGCTTTGCGCAATGAGATTACACGGCTACAGATGGAGCTTATGGAATACAAAACAGTAAGTGTATTCTCTTAGGATTTCTTCTGCTTTAAAATGATTATAATTCCACAGCTTGTTTTCTCTTCGCTAGTTCTGCTTTATACACACACGCGCGCGTGAATAATAACACTAATCTGTAAAACACATCCAGTAATCCAGTTGTTACCAGGCGTCCTCATGGTCAGTGATGAGAAACAGTCACTTCCAAAGTGAAAAATGATCACAATTTAGATTGCTCACATGTTTATTCACGTACCAGTTATTGTATGTTGCTTTTAAATACTTACTTGAGAACTAAAACTATTATGCTTTAAAAATGGTTTTTCAGTTATATAGGCCAGATACTCATAATACGCAACGCCAGAATTTTAGTCAAAGGATATTGTTTTCAGCAATAAATGTGGCTGCCATTGTTATCTCCCTTTGTTGTTCTTGAAGTAGTATCCTGATTTAATAAAGAATGGTCTTCTCATTTCTAAATCTCTCTAAGAAGTTCTATTTCAGGAACTGTGTGGGGAGGACCAAAATGCTAGGATCAGTATCTTGCAGATATCAGTGCTGTGGCAACTTTCTGTTACTGTTTTGAAATCTTTGAAAGAATCATCTTTTGCAGTGAGCATCTAAGTGGAATGTTAAGCAATCTGTGGACTATCTTTTAAAATAGATTTTAAAAATAATACTAAAAATGCTTTTCTACACATAATTTTTCATTACTAGTAATAACTTATGTATTTACTTAAGGGTAAAAGGATTATAGATGAAGAAGGAGTTGAAAGCATCAATGACATGTTTCATGAAAATGCTATGCTGCAAACAGAAAACAATAATCTGCGTGTTAGAATTAAAGCCATGCAAGAAACTATTGATGCACTGAGAGCCAGAGTAACACAGCTTGTGAGTGATCAGGCCAACCAAGTTCTAGCCAGAGCAGGTATGCTGTGGGTGCATTGTGCTTACTTGTGTATAAACTGCTTAAGGAGTACATGAGTTCATATCAGTTCATGTTCTTGCTTCAAGGATCCCTTGGAAGAGTTATGCTTTTGTAGAAGGTACTATAGGACTTGCTTTGGCAGTGAAAGACACCCATATAGCTCTCACCTCTATTTCCAGAGACTTCTGTTAATAGAAGTAGTCTGGGACTCCGTACCATTTGTTTAGGATTATGAACAGCATGAAATTTGAAATAATCGCTTTGGATGGGAATTATTTGTATGCTTAGTTAACCCAGTGCTAAATATTTAAGTACACGAGGACCCAGAGATGGGCGACTGTTTGCTTTTCACTTTGTAAAACAGTCAGCTGATAGAAATACCACAACACGTTGTTCTTCTTGTGTGTTTTGTTGGGATCTTTTTGATTATTGGAAGTTACTAGTGGGGGGGTGGGGTTGAACACAGAATAGAAGAAGTTACTTAAAATAGTCCTGATCGAGGACACAAAAAGGAACCAAACTCCTAATGCAGCTCAAAAAAGAAATACATTTAATGAATCAGATAAGATCTAAACATGTAGCCGATATGATTATTTCTTTGCTGGTACGTTGAGCCTAGTATCTATATGAAAATATTAAGTGTTACCATTCCCCTTTCTCTCCAGGAGAAGGAAATGAAGAAATTAGCAACATGATTCATAATTATATCAAGGAAATTGAAGATCTCAGGTATTTATGTAATATGTCTTTGAATCATTTGCGTTTAAAACAAATACTGGTAATGTCAGCAGCTGAATGCTCAACTGGTTGTTGTGCAAAATTTGACACTGTTGTTTTGTGGTAACCTCATAGCCTGGTATAAATTATAGTACTGACAAATGACCTAAAAATGTTCAAGGTGATTAATATCCTAAACACTTGCATTTCTTTCTTGGAACTGTATCACTGCAGGAAAAAAAAAAAAAAAAAAAAAAAGTATATGGCTTTCCCGCTTAGTATTCTATATTATACAGTAGCTCTTGTGTAATGAACATACAAAATCCATATACACTGCATGTAGATGTTACCATAGTGTGTGTCTATATATTTGTAGATGTTCAATAATTATTCATTTAGAATTTATTTTGATGAAATGTGTACAGTTTCCATAGCCACTGTGTGAAGTCGTGACCAGGAGATTTACCATGGTTGTTTTTTTTTTTTATCTTGTATTGTGGTTTCTTCTAAACATGAAGATAATGCATTACAATTGCAGATACCAAAGAGGTATATTTGTTTGTTTGTTTGTTTTTTAAGGGCAAAATTATTAGAAAGTGAAGCAGTTAATGAAAATCTTCGACGCAACTTGTCAAGAGCTTCAACAAGATCCACATACTTTGGTGGACCATCTGCATTTTCTATGCTTTCTTCAGAAAAAGAGACACTGGAAATTCTGGATATAGCCAAGAAAGATCTAGAAAAGCTGAAAAAAAAAGAAAGAAAAAAGAAAAAAAGGTTGTGTATAAATAATAGTTTTATTTCTTTGTATTAGTAAGGAAGTGTGTGTTTTATTTTTAGTTTTCAAACTTGACAATTCAGAGTACATCTTTTGTTGCTGTTGGGGATTGGTTCCTAAACTAGTGTTTCCACAAATCCTTTTACACATCAAATGAACAGCTGTTTTTCTCTTGAATTTTTTCTTCCAAAGGAATATATGTTATTTGCAGAATGAATGTTTTTCTGATATAACAATTCTTTTTCTTATGTCATAGTTATGCTCAACTGTAAAAGCACAGGTGCTCTCCCTAACTTTAAAGCATTTGAAACTCAAAAAGAGTTTTCGAGAACAAAAATTACTTTTTTTTTTTTTCCTTCATGTGTCAAAGAAAAGATATTCTGAATAGCTGGGAATTCTTTGGTAGCTCCTGGAATGGCTTCTTTTGCTTTCTCTACCTTCTGCTTTTATAAATGTTTTTGATTTGAGGTTTCCTACTTTTCTGCAATGTCATGCTTAGCTGTTTTTTGTTGTCCAATTTCTCATCTACTAAAATGCTCATATACATTGATATAAATGCCTGTTCAGACAGCAGTTAGTACAGCAAGAATCTGTGCACTCCAAGACTTTGATTCTATTACAGGTCTTTCCTTTTTCCTTGCAATTCTCTGCACTTCTCATCTATTGTCTACAAGTCAACATAAATTTAACAAATCTGAAATGCAGTAGAAATATAAGGTAGCTTTGTTAGTGAGATGTGCAGCTTGGAATCTTATCCGTAAATGCTTACATTATACAGATGTCTGATACTTTTGGAAAACACTTCTTTTAATGATAACTAAATTCTTTGTTGCATCTCATTTTTTCAGGACACTCTTTCATGGGTATTTAAGTTGATTTTGTGTGCTACATTTGTAGGAATTTGAAGAGAGGGTGGAAGTATTAAGTGAAAGCAGCAGAATCTTCTGGCCTCACTTCAGACAAACACTTCAATATGTTTTTTAACATGTTAGGAGGAAGATTTTCACACAGGGTGGTGATGCACTGGAACAGGTTGCCCAAGGAGGTTGTGGATGCCCCATCCCTGGAGGCATTCAATGCCAGGCTGGATGTGGCTCTGGGCAGCCTGGTCTGGTGGTTGGCGACCCTGCACACAGCAGGGGGGTTGAAACTGGATGGTCATTGTGGTCCTTTTCAATCCAGGCCTTACTATGGTTCTATGAAGAAGATCTGCTTTTGTATGTTTTTAAAATTTTAAAATTAAGCATGTGTTAAATACATGCTTAGAACCCCAGTTGTTCAGTTAGTGTCTGAGTATTTGATGATTGTTGACAGGGTTGTGAGCAGAAAACTGGTGAAAGTTACTATACACATTGAGTAATAGATCTTAGTGTGGTAGATGTTTACTTCTAAAAGAGATACCAAACCAAACCAAACAAAACAAAAAAGGCACCAAACAAAGCTCCCCAAAAGCAAAACAAAACAAAAACATTTGGAAGTTTTCTACAGCAGTAAATAAAAGAGGTACAACTTAATTTTGGTCTTTTTCTGAAAGATGTGCCTATGAGCAGTGATGTTTACACTAGGATGATAATATTGTCAGTGGGAAAGTCCAGTGGTCTGACCCAAGGGCGAGGACTAATTGCTATAAACTTTGCATTATAGAATTGGAGAGCCAAAAGAGAATTCAAGTTGAAAGAGCCCTTTTGAAAGCCCAGCCTACATTTCAAAATGGGTCTTATGTTCCCATTTTATAGAGTCTTTTTCCATTTTCTAGTCTTAAGTATGGTAAAGGTTGGCCCATCTGTAGTCTTCTGAACAGTTTTTATATTTCTGAGTTGCGTGTGCCAGGAAAATAATTCCATAAATGTGAAGAATTAGAATTTGAGAGACTGCACAATTGCAGATTTCTTCCATCTAACTAATGAAATGTAAAGTCTGTTTCTGGGACATATCATTGTTAATTTTTATTCTGTCAAAGTGTCAGGTGTTGGAAATGGATATACTGACGTATTGCAAAGGGACCATTTACCCTGTAGTTTGGCAGGGATTCTTTGCTCTACTTCTGTTTCCTACAGGCATTTAGCTGCTTTTACTGTACTACTCCTTTATAGGGTTGATATTATTAAAGTTGTCTAACTAGTGCTTCCCTATGAAGATGGGATTGGTAAAACTAGTTAGTAGCTTTGCCCCTACTACCTTTCTTGATCTGCTCATTTCCTGCATGAGGACCAGTATTAAAGGTGCAGTTTTAAGTACATGCAACTTATATAAATTCTTCTGAAGTAGCTCGAAGACCTAAGAGTTAGTTTTTGAATAAGCAGCAGTTATGTAGTGCTTCATATCTGTAGCCTTTAATAAGCATTCATCATAAAGATTGTTGGAGACAGTTTATACCCCAGTAATGTTTTGACATCTGAAATACTGACATATACTTCCGCAAACTTCTGACTCACCAGAAGTCCCACAGCAAATCTCCCATGTTTGTTAGTCAACCTTACACATCTTGTCCCCTTTTTTGACTGTTGTCTTTTGACTTCCATAGCCTTTATTAAACTAAATTAGTGATAAAATCACATAGGGTTCAGCATGTTAGCACCTAGCTGGCACTGAGGAGAGGTGGCAGGCAATGTCAAGTGGAAGGGCTCACACTCAAAGCTTGCTCATAATGGGAACATGAAGAATATACTTTAGGACATTCTACACTTACTTATGTTATCCAGATGCTTCTAAACAGCTATAATGCCCTTTGCTAAGGATGAAAAAGTACAAGTAAAAATACTAACTTTTTGTCCATCTCATTGCTTTTGATGCTTTTTTTTTTTTTTTTTTTTTTAATAACAAGCAATCACTGGAATGTACTTCTGAATCCCAGGAAAAAAAAAACTGCAATTCTCTTCTTACTTAAAAACAAATAACAAGACTAAACAAAAGAAATAATTGCAGTTCAAGAAAAGTTTGAATTGTATTCAGAATATATGATTCAGAATATTATTACTGAAAAAAAAACCTTGTCCTTGTTCTGCGATGTTGCTGATAATATATGAGTGGCAGCACCTATTGTATTTTTCAATGTTTTACTTGCGAATTTTAACAGGAAAAAGTAAAGAGGGTTTCTTTGGTTTTATTTAGTTTTCTTTTTAGGACTAAGAGATTTTTGAACCCACGTTAGAAACAATTCTCAAAGTGAAATATATAACTTCTTCACGAGTATAACTTGAATTTCTAATCATTGGTGGTGACAGATCAGTTAACCTACAAATGCTGCTGCTTTGTTTTCTGTTTACTTTCCAACTGTTCAAAATGTATTGCCTTTTTACTACTTGTTGTCTTTTGACAGTATTTTTTAAAATTTGGTTTTAAACTCCACGAGCTCATGTATCATTTTTTTTTTACCTTCTTATCACTTTCGCTTTTCACTGTCTGGTTTGTCCTTCATTGACTTGGCCTTCCAATACTGTACCTCGTGCTTTTGAAGGCTACAGAAACTTGAGGAAAGCAGTCAAGAAGAAAGAAGGTTGGAATATTTCCCAGGTTTTTAATTAACTGTCATTTCAATTAACTGGTTGTCATACAAGGAAAGAAGTTGGGTAGATTATTAACCCCAAGAGTAGTTCATTTGGCTCTTCAAAATTCTGTCCTGTGTTTTGGCTTTTGGCAAGTGCTTTAATAGGAAGAAATCTCTATTGTGGAATTGAGGTTGACTTTGGGATTGCAAGCAGTTGTGGGACGGTGATGCCTTTGGGAATCGCTGTAGAATTTGGTAGTTTTCTTTCTTGCATGGCCTGCCCTGTATGAGATGGAAGGCAGGAGGAAGGTGCTGTAGCTAATATCATATAAAATATTATAGTAGGCAATATAGCAATTCAATATTTTTAGCATATGAGTTTGGGCCTTCACACTTCAGTTAAGTCTGTTCATAGTCCCTTTAGTTTTATTTATTTATTGAAATTGCATTGCTGAAACATTAACCGTTCTTTCAGTTCAGTTTCAGCCGAGGTAGTAGATATATTAGATAGTCACAGAGAACAGTCACATTGAAGAGGAAGGAGCTTTTGTTTTTCAGCTGTATACTTTGATCCAAAAACCCACATTGGATTCATGTAGAGTGATAATGTGAGCCTGCAGAGCAGTAGAATACCCATTGAACAGCGTGGTTCTGCCTGGAGGAGCTGCTGGCCCTCCTTCCTCCTGCCTTCTCCCATTCATTAGGCAGAACACAAGTTCTCTAGTGGTGAGCTTCGTACTGTCTGCAGGAGAAGGGAACCTGGGAATTTTTTCTCATTGTGCATGAAGATTGCAACTAGGATCTGTTAGCACTTAGACTTTCTGTCCAACATAAACCAGAACATGTGGGCTGAGTGAGATGAGAATCTGTGGAAATGAGATTGCATGGCTCAGTATTCCTTGTCTGGTGTTTGTTTTCTGTTCTAATGGAGGCAGGCTGCTACCCAAGTGAAGGCAGTCTGCCCACTTCTGTTCAGCTTCAGCTGGGCTCTGTGCCACTGCTGGGGAGCGGGACAGGGGGAGCCATCTAGCGTTGATCTGTTTAAAAAGTAATAGAAAGAAAAAAACCTGCTTATACGCAGAAGCGCTGTCTCTTAATTAGCACTCTTCAGAGTAGAGCTCTTTTATTTAAAGTGACTTTTAGATTTGAGTAGTTTCTCAAATCTTCTGAACGTTTTTTTGTCACTGCACTGAGTACTGGATTTATCAGTTATGTCTCTCATCTGGGCTCCTCTTGGTGTCAGTAGAGGAAGATGAATCTGCCTAATCGGTGACAGCACATAACTCGTCCCACCATTATGCAGTTGAAATTGGGTGGAGTAGAGTCCACCCTATGTGATCCCAACCACGTTTTTCACTATTACTCCCTACTGTGTCTACTCCAGTTCTGTCACAATTTCCTTTCTGTTGAGAATCTTTTCCATTTTGCATGTGTAGTTTTAGAGGGATTGATAGTTTGTCCTGGACAATTTGCAGAGTGCCGTCAATTTTAAATTTCAGCGTTTGCATGTGGCATCTCAACTGTGCACTTAAAAGTTAAGAAGCCATCCTAATGGCTAATACACCAAGTCAAAACTGCTGCAATTTGTATAAGCCCTCACTATGGTTACAGTCCAAGTCCTCAAGAGAGGAAGAATGTGACAGTACTTGTCAGTTACATAAGTTTTGAATTGCACTCTGAAAAACAGAAACACAGATGTATACTAAAATGCAATCTTGTTTGTTGGGAAAGTTTCTTTTTGAAACACATTCTTATAGCAACAATTCTGTTTTTGTAAACTATTTTTGTTACATTTGCCTATTTGGAGCATTCTCTTGATGTCTAACTAGACAACTGATCCAAAAAATAGTTATAGTATGGTATGTTAGGAAATATGCATAAACCTTAAGAGAAAACTTAGGCATGGTAGACTCTGTTATAACTTGAGGGCATGTATCTATAATGTATATTGTACTTGCACATAATATTCTTTCTTTGTTTAGTAAAAGCTGTTTTGGGTATGCTGCAACTTCCATGCAAAAAGAGTACAGCTGTGGTCTACATTTATATTTTGATTGTCCCAGTTGTGTAATATGGTCTAAAACAGTGTAATACTCATTAATGTTACTGGGCAAACTAAGATTAAGAGCAAAGAAGCATTATTTTTGTTTTCTGTAGGAGCTTGGAAGTTGTGTTTTACCCATGCACAACCTGTATACTTTGTGTAAGCACACTTTGGTTTCATCTTTGTTTTGAATTGTGTTTGTTTCATCTTTGTTTTGAATTTTTTTGTGTATGTTTGGTGGCCCTGCTAGGCAGGAGGGTTGGAACTACATGATCCTTGAGGTCCCTTCCAACCCGGGTGATTCTGTGATTCTGTGAATTAAAACTTAATGTTTGGGGGGATGGGAAGCACTTGCTATTTCAGTTTGTGAATATTTTGTCTGTGCCTTTTCTACTAGTGCTAAGGATGACAACACAGATAACGAGCAGGAGAAGAGAGATGAAAAAGGCACTTCAGAGAGAGCAAATAATGAATTGGAAGCAGTAAGTATTTACAAGTACTTGTGTTGATTTGTTTGTTGCCTGTGTACTGATTTATATTGTTGTTGAAAGAAAATTAGGAAAGAATGAAGTGAATATTGCTGCTTCTCAGTGATTGTAGGAAGTGAATGGGGGATGGAAAAGTGTGGATACATTTTGATGTCTTTCCGCTCCACATTTTGCAGGAGGAAATTCAGGAAGTAAGTGATCATGAAGATGAAGAAGAGGAAGATGATGAGGATGAAGATGACATGGAAGTTGTTGAAAGCTCAGATGAGTCAGATTCTGATTCTGATGAAAAAGGTGATGTCAGTGCAATATTTCTGCAGATTTTTTGTACGAATCCTGTGTGCCATTCTTGGCTTTTTTGTGTGTTTGTTCACTTTTTTGTTTGTTTGGCAGAGAAGATAGCATGTTGTCAGTGCTGTTCATAATGCTTTGTTGATTGTATGTCCAGTGAATTCTTTGTGAGTTATGGTGCTAAAACATACATCTGATCGAGTGTATCTTTGCTGGCTTTAAAACTAAACAGAAACTATCGAGTGCTTAATAAGGCATTTCTTCTTTAGTGAAAATATATGAAGCAAAAATACTAGGTTGTTTTTGTAACTCAGGACTAATCACCAATTGACAGCTCCTATCTGGCTAATTTGAAAGAGGGTAAAATTTAATTTTGAAATGCTGGAAGCCCATAACCTTCGTCAGTTCGCAGATGTTGTGGCTATTCATGTAGAAGCATCAACATCTGGTGTACTTGTGGCATGCAAATTAGGATTGCCAGGGTGAGAGAGAGCATTACCAGCAATTCACTCATGAGTTGGGCCAAATAGGCAAATCAGAGCTGTTGATTCCTGCTTGTTTGAGAGTCACATAAGCAATTAACAACAGTTGCAGAACCTGAAATAAATCCACATTTTAAAAATTAGTTCTGGAGCACGTAGTCTTAAACCCCAAAAAAAAAAAATCTGATTGAACAAAGCAATTCGTTAAGCATTTACAAATTTTGTGTGGGGATTAGTTCTTTTTTTTTTTCCCCTCTGAATCTTCTCATTCCTTCCCTCATTCCACCTTCGTAGATACTGCAGCTTCTCTTCTGAGGATTTTGACTTCATTTTTCCACAAGCTAGAGAAAGGAAGTTCTCCTATTGGAGTCTGCCAGTAGCCATATTTTCCTTTTCTAACCTGCTAGGTTTCTGAATGAGAGTTATTCAGCGGCCCTGAGGTGATTGAACTCTCACAGTGTAACTTCTTATGAGGAAAGACTGATTGCTGTTGATGAGATTTAAATGTAAAGAATTATAACAGCTGAGTAACTATGTTCCAGTGAAAGATATATTTACTTCCTTTCCCATTCCTAGAATGGAGGGTGTTTAAAGGAGAGATATGGTCAGGATTTCCAGATAGTGGTTTTGTTTGCTGCATTGTATTTTGTGTGAAGTTCTCATAGGTAAAATTACGTGCCACGAAATGGTCCTAACATTGCAGGAGGAATCCACAATTATGTGGTTCTCATTGTTACATTAACAGGAATTTTCATTTTTAATTATCCAAATTTTTTATTTCAGAAAATTATCAAGCAGACTTGGCAAATATCACCTGTGAAATAGCCATTAAGCAGAAACTGATAGATGAGCTAGAGAATAGCCAGCGAAGATTGCAGACACTGAAAAAACAATATGAGGAGAAACTAATGATGCTACAACATAAGATTCGAGACACTCAACTTGAAAGAGATCAAGTTCTTCAAAACTTGGGTAAGAATTACAACTTTATTTAAATTGAAATTTGTAAGATCTGCAAGTTGAATTGTTTCTAACATCCTTGCTTCCTTTTCCGAATGTGGTAAGAAATTGCGGGAAATATAAACTAGTTTTTACTCATAATGCAAGTGGATCATACTTTGTTTGTTATTGTTTCTACCAGAATGGTGAGAGATTTTTGAGGTCTGGTGGGAGTTGCTGCTACTGACAGGTGTTTGATTTCAATTTTCGAGGAGCTCTCATTTTCTTTTTAACACAGTTCTTGAGATAATACTCGAATTACAAGTTTTTTGGCTCCGACCTCACCCCCTTCTTTTGGCTGTCATGAGCTAAGACTGAGAATCAAAGCAGCCTTGCAGAAGTGTTTTACAGACCAAGCTTTTTAGTTTGTGGTAGTCTTAAGATGAGAAATGAACTGTGGCACAGGAAGTCGTGAGCGACAAATGAGTTCAAGTTTTGGGAGAGTATAGGGGGAGGTGTTTTTATTGATTTGTTTTGACTGTGTCATACTGAAAATACACTATATATGCTTTATTATTGTGTACTTAATATGCTTTCACTGTTCCCTTATTCTTCCTTAGACCTTCCCTTTTCAACAGCTCAGAAGCGGATACTAGGCTTTATGGCTCTTGGGATATGGTTTGAGTAATCGTATCAGCTTGTGCACATGTGTGCACATGCATGTGTGCATCTGTCTTCAGATATTTGGATATCTATTTTCATGCATTGAAACAGAGCAGGTGACAGGAGCTAGATACAAATGAAAATTTTCAAGTGTATTGCAAAAAATGGTAAAAGCAGAGGAAAGTCGTCTGACCTGGCAAAGCAAAAATCTCTTTCAAAAAAGCAGATTAAAAATTCTCTTTTGCTCTAGGTTCTGTAGAGACATATTCAGAAGAAAAGGCAAAAAAAATCAAGTCAGAATATGAAAAGAAACTCCAAGCCATGAATAAAGAACTTCAGAGACTTCAAACAGCTCAAAAAGAACATGCACGACTGCTTAAAAATCAATCTCAATATGAAAAGCAACTGAAGAAACTGCAGCAAGAGGTGACAGAGATGAAGAAAACCAAGGTATGTTTCAGTATGTTGAAGTGTCAGGCAATGACTGTTTGTTCTCTGGAAAATAAGATCACCTGTGCATTTATCCAGTGGATGACTGTTACATGCTGTCAGCTGCTCAAAGGACTGAAAACAGAAGATATGAAGACTAGGCTATTCCTATGTGTGCATGACTGTCTGGGGAGCCCTTTTAGGTTTAATTAATGGAAATTACTGCATGAAACACGCAGAGCTGCTTGTGCTGCTTATTACCTGTTACTCAGCACTGAGTGAAGAAGACATTAGATGGAAGTAAATTGCTAAAAGCATGTAATATGCTGCAAGATGGCAGTTTGGAGAAAAGTCTTAATATAAATGGGGGCAGGGAATAGCACTTCAATGCAAATGGCTTTTCTAAGTGATGACTTCTTTACAGGTTCGCTTGATGAAACAAATGAAAGAAGAGCAGGAGAAAGCTAGAATGACTGAATCAAGAAGAAATAGAGAGATTGCACAGCTTAAAAAGGAGCAACGCAAACGAGAGGTGATTTAACAGATAAAGAACTTGCATTTGGGATAAATGGCTGTCACTGAGACAGCATTAAATTGAAGGCATGTGTCCTATGTATAGTCATTCATTGAGGCTGGCACGTACCTGCTTTTATTTATTTATTTTTTTTCCTTGCAAGTCAAAATACACATAATTTGCTTTGACTTCTGTGATCACTCAGTTCCTAGTTTCAAGTTATAAGTGCAACAGAAAACAAAAGACTTACTCATTATGTGTATCAGTATTATTTTATCACTGAATCTTTACAAAACTATTGCTGCTGTCATGCTACTGCATGCAGGTGTTCTTTTTGATAGAGAGTAACTTTATTGAAACACTCATTTTTATTCTGTCCTAAAAAGACCAAGAGCTGTAACTTGTCAAGTCACTTCACAGGAGTTCTGTAAACTTAGTTTAGTGTGTGAAGTTCTTTTTATTTTATTTTTATTCTTATTTTATTTTTTTTAAATTTATGCATATGGTAGATTTCTTGTAACAGAAAATGGAGGAAATATAATGTGCTGTTCATGTTTCTTCTGCAGCACCAGCTCAAGCTTCTGGAAGCTCAGAAAAGAAATCAGGAAGTTATCTTACGTCGCAAAACTGAAGAGGTATTGTCATAAAACAGTAATGCATCTTAGACAACAGAAGGTATTATATTGCTGCAACTTTGAATGTAGATATAGGGAGAGGTAGCTGTGTCTTTGCACTCTTGTTTCAGGTCACAGCCCTTCGTCGGCAAGTCAGGCCTCTGTCTGATAAAGTGGCAGGAAAAGTGAGTCGAAAGCTGAGTCTGCCTGAACATCCTACTCAAGAACCAAGTTCCAGCTCATCAGTTGAGCACGATGGTTCGAGGACAGCAGCACAGCAGAAGATGAGAATTCCTGTTGCAAGGGTTCAAGCATTATCTGTTACAAATGGAACAGGGTAAGGGTTAAAACTCTTAGAACTTGTCAAGAGAACTGAAAATTGCATGGACTTTATAGCAGATATTCTTGTGATGACACTTATTTCAGTTGTTGGCATTTCTCAAACTATAGTCAGGTAATGCTCATAGAACGGATTTTTTTATCATTATCAAATGTAATTTCAATTTTATGAGCTTAAGTGTGGAATAACGTAGAACAACATTAAAGGGTAAACTGCACTAAGATTTCAAAATCCAGTTAATCTATTTTTAAAGAAATATCCTTATTGGTCCATTTAATTCAAATACAATCTTGTTGCAAAACATTGTTTAATATATACTGATGATTTTCCACTGCAGTTTCAAGTACGTTTCCTTGTTAAACAGGGAGTGATTCTTAGATGTCATTTTATTTCAGTTGTGCATCATGTAAGATGCCAGGGTTTGGTTCCTTTTTTCAAATGCTATGTACTAGAATATAGTAGAATTTGGTGGGGGAGTGCAGGTAGGTGTCTAGTGCAATGACAAATTGCAGGAAATTTTGCAAGGTATTTTTAAGTTATCCATTAAAAGTATTCTGGCCTGATTGTTTCCACGTTCAAATCTGAACTGCTTCAGCCTCAGATGTATGTTTCTCCTGAATTTACCACAGGAAGAAATATCAGCGGAAAGCAGTGACAAGCAGAGTTTACTCCTCAAGGGCAGCCAGGATGAAGTGGCAGCTACTTGAACGCAGAGTCACTGATATCATTATGCAGAGGATGACCATTTCCAATATGGAGGCAGATATGAATAGGTTACTTACGGTGGGTGAGCTGCCATGGACTATGATCTGCGTGGCCATATTGACTGTAAAGAGAGCGCTGTGTTTGTGTTTGTGGTGAATGTGTTGCTGTGATGCCAGCATAAGCAGCGACTTGGAATCCCTTGCTGTCAATGAAGAAACTTTTAACTTCTGTGCACTTTTGGACGATAGGATTTCTGTGCTTAGCAAGGAATAGAAGCCATAATGGGCTAATGTGTAAATATATTAATATACTTAAGTGTGGAATTTCTTTCTTCCTGTAGAAATAATGGCATGTTAGTTAAATTTTAAAAAGGAAAGGAAAACATAAAGAAGGTATACTTCAGTGCCTTAAGTGTTTACTAATTATTTTCTATGTAATGGTTTGTCTTGGGAAAATAGCAACGTGAAGAACTTACAAGAAGAAGAGAGAAGCTTTCAAAGAAAAGGGAGAAGCTCATCAGGGATGGGGGTGGCAGTGAAGCAGATAGAAATGTCCAGAACATAAACGAAGAAATGGAATCACTAACTGCAAATATAGACTACATTAATGACAGCATTTCTGACTGCCAAGCAAATATTATGCAAATGGAAGAAGCAAAGGTAGGTCAAATATCAATTTAAATAATGGAAAGGAGGAAGAGAAGCAGCCTTGAAAATGTGCTTTAAATAAGAAATGAATTTTATTTTCATTCTGTGGTTATTGAATTAGGAACTAGGAATAAATGAAGTCTGGAGTGAAGGCTGTTTATACAACTGGACTTTGAGATATGAATCTTGGGCTTAATGTTGTAATGCAAGTTAAATACTGCAAAGTGTTTAAACATCAAAACTGATGCTTTCTATTCTCCTGGTGCCAAATTGAGTTACTGGAATCAAAGGTTATCAGGTTGTGTTCTCTTTCTGCAGCTGTTGATATACTTCTATTTTGTTGTATTGTTTTTGTATGCTTCAAATATACGTAAGCAATTTTGTATGTCATCACCTCTGTATATTCTTTTTATTACCTATTGCATTTTTATAAATTTTCAATTATGGAACAGTTGCTATCTGTAATCAAGGAGGCTTTTCAGGAAAAGCTGCTTGAGATAGACTTTAGACAGACAGTTTCCCATTAAATTGATTGATGTAGAAAGTTGTGTGTTATCAAAAGCAGTGAAATTCATGTGTGAAAACTTCATATGCATAACACTGTACATGATCCAGCATGAAGAGCACACCAGACAGTCTTTTAGATCTCTCAATGCATGATGGTATGAAGTCTAAACAGTAACACCAACTCTTTTTTTTCATATAGCAGTTTCTGAGTTCTCCCTGTGCCACACTGGGCTAAGTTGTGCCTTAATGCATTGTACATTGCCAGCAGCTTTTACTGTTTTAATCGCATCAGGGTTCCTTGAATTTTGGACAGCATGGTGCGAGGTTACTGGACTTTAAACTAACAATAAAATGGTAGTGAACACAAATGATTATTCCTAAGGGTTCCAGAGTACTTAATACTAACTGAGAGTAATCAGAAAAATGATGAAAAGAATAGTGGGAGAGATCTTCAAATATACAAAGGCTGTAGAGATTAAAGAAATGCACTTATTTCTGTATGCACTGTGAATAGTGTAGTCTGCAGAAAGAAGGGCTCTGAGTTAGAGGCTAGTAAGAGCATTCTGATAGGAAAGAAATGAAGCATTGCAAGAGACTTGGAAGGATGTGGAATCTGTACCATGAGGTAGTTTGGGGATAGTTTGGAAGAAAAAACACACGCACGCACAAAAAAAACCCACCAGGATGAAACTGTGTGGCATGGTGTAGAGGTACCTGAAGGAATAACTGGGTGATGTTGCAACATTCTCTTACTGTTTCTGTTTTCTGTAATTATGGTATTGTTACAAAAAAACCTTTATTTTCTTCCCAAACCTGACGGTTTTATTGCTGCATATGTAGGAAGAAGGAGAGACCTTGGATGTAACGGCAGTGATAAATGCTTGCACTTTGACAGAAGCCCGATATTTGCTTGATCACTTCCTCACAATGGGTATCAATAAGGTAATGCAGATTGTGAAACGTGTGTGCATCAGGACTATTCCATGTATCATGAGCTGAGCTGTTAAAGGTTGGCTAATTTGAATTTATGACTATAGAAAGTAAACACAAACAAAGCAAAGCAGGTCAGCACTAATGAGTTGCACTGGCTCAGAGTGGAGGCCCTTGAGATCCTTTGTACCCTTCAAGCTGTTACCTGTTTTTCGATCACCAGAAGAGTCCACTTCACTCTATGAAAAACTCGTGCTGTTGTAGGAACAATATGAGGTAATTAGTAATCGAATTCTTTCCATGTTTTTTTTAACAAGCTCTGAGATAGTGCTCAGTGGTTGTGGTTTTTGTTTTTTCTTTTCTTTTTTTTTTTTTTAATAAGACTGGCACAGCAACTTTCTTGAAAATAAGATCCGTTTTAAAAATCAGTTTCAAGATAGGATAACATATTATTTCATGGCGTGCTTTGGTCAGACTTGGGCTTTTGAGTAGAGCAAGATGGGTTTTTCATAGAACTTTGGGAAGTAATGTTTTCATAATGAGTATTTGGCACTTTATGACAATGTACACGTGAATCACATGCTTATTTTCTCTCTTAGGGGCTCCAAGCAGCTCAGAAAGAAGCTCAGATTAAAGTTCTAGAGGGGCGCCTTAAGCAGACAGAAATTACTAGTGCTACTCAAAACCAGCTGCTGTTTCATATGCTAAAAGAGAAAGCTGAGTTGAATCCCGAACTTGATGCTTTACTGGGTCATGCTCTGCAAGGTAGTTTTGTCATCTTATATTCCAAATAGTCAGCTGCATGTCACGTTTGCCTCTCATGCATGCTGTACTGGGCATTCTAGGTTGTTTCTTTTCTGAATAGATGCTGTATTTTAATGTATTAAATTTTTAATTATTTCACAATTGATATGCATGTATGTCATGTGTAAGTATATCCACTCAGCAGTGAAATGTAGGAAATTCAGAAGCTTTTTATTACTGAGGCTTTAAAATTCGAGTATTTCACTTATTGCTTTTATAAAAGACTGCTTTTCAGTTTCAGATGATTTTAATTTTTGAATGTGGAATTCTAAATGTAATTCTGTTCAATCATCATTTGTTAGTGATTTTCAAAGTGGCATTGTATTTCTGCTACGGCATCTATTCTACTTCTTGTGAGATAGTAGTAAGGAAAAGAATAGGATACATTTGGGTACTTTTGTTTTATTTCTCTTTATAACTGGATATGTTTTGATTGGAGTGTTGCTTTTGTTTCCTTGTTGTTATTGCACAGACCTAGATAGCATACCACTGGGTAAGTATGTCTAGCTTTCTGTGTACTGTACAGCTGCATGAATTACTAATTCATTCATGTTCACTAACTGGTATATCTTAGAATTCGTGTGTGTGTGAAGTTTGCATGCTGTAAATGTACTCATTTATTATGAGCTTAATGAACATTTCTTCCTTTCTGAAACGACCTTTAGCCTCACATTGTCTTTGTTAGACATGATTTTGACTGAGGAAAAAGAAATAATTCATAAATGCAGTTCATTTTTTGTAGACAAATTACTTTGTAATGTAAATAATTTACAGAATCCAGATACCTCACTTTTTCAATTGGGTTTAGTTTCTGACCACTAATTTTGGGGAGATGAATCTTTTGTTGCTTCTAAACAATTTTCAAGTAAATGACATACATTTCCTTCTCTCCTGTGACTCCTGGTCACGAAATGGGCTATGTTTCAAACCTCAGATATTCCTGATGTCAGTAACAGTTTGTTTTGTATCATCTCCTGTTCCTTCTAAGCCCATGAAGCTATCCAGGAATATATCATATATACCAGACTTTGTCTTAAAGTGTATAGATTATTGCCAGAGCTGGTGAGAGCAGTCATAGCTGTGCAGTGCCCTGGCAGGTGACATCTGATAAACAGGCCAGGGCATGCTGCTGCATTTGCTGAGTATTTCTTCAGATGCACCAGTGGTTATTAGTAATGTAGTTTGTCTAAAATAGCCTCTGTACTGTATACATGTGCATGTGTGTGCCTGTTCACCCCTGTTGGAGTGAAAACAAAGCTTCTCTAGCCAGGATGTTTGCATTTCCTTTTAGCTCTAGACAGGACTTGTTAGAGGCATCTAGAGCAACCTTTTGAGAATAATTTTGTTAAATGCATTGAAACAGTAGCGCTGTTGTAAAAATTTTTGGAGTGTGTTAAAGAAGCTTTTTAGCCTGAACTGAGGCTTTTAAAATACACGTCAATCAGGACTGCGTTAACACTTAATAGGAAGGAAGCTTCACTGTAAGTGTATCTAAACTGAATATACCATATTAACCTTAGTCCACACTGAAATTTGCGCTTTTGGTAGTCTGTATTTTGTAGATCACTCGTAGGTAGACCTTTTCAGCTGGAGGAAGTTCAGAAAGTACTGAAGAGAAGCTTCAAGGCTGGGACTGCCAGCTGCGTGGCTGGGGCACAGCAGACTGGCTGCAAGGCTCCCTGGTAAATCAGTATCTCAATAGGCTGCCTGGAAGCTCAGGGGCATTACTGAGCTCCATCCCAGGCAGTAACTGTACCTTCAGAGTCCTGGTCATCAGCTGCTCTTGCCTTCGATGCCTTTTTGCAGCTCTGCAGTCTGTATGTTTTTAGCAGTTTGAAACCCACTTGGCTTGGGGAACTCCTGCATTTCTCCAGTGTAGTTGTGTACCTGTGCTCAAGTGTAGACTGAAGAAAAGGTTTCAGTCTGCATCAAATTACATCACAGGCTCAGTTTTTATCTTCAGACCAGGCTTCTTATGCACACCTACTTTGTGTGTGGATGAACTCTTCGCACCTATTGAGACGTTAATGTGACCACAAAGTTGGGTCTTGAAGTCACTCCTTTCTGAAGCACCTTCCCACCGATGACATCTGGTTGTGCCTGGTTATGACTAAGAGTTTTGTACGTGCAGATCCTGAAAGAGCAGCTCAAATGTCATCTCCTTTGGATTAAATTGCTGGCTTGCTGCACTGTCTGGTACTGTTCATTTTTCTTTGTGTGAGGATGAAGACTTCGTCATGAAGTCATCAGAAAAGCTCTCCACTGGTCTTTGATCACTGGTTTATTAACAGTTATATCTCTAGCTCCTCATAAGCAGTACTGCCTTCAATGGCTTAATTGTTTCTTTTTATCTCCTCTTGCTCAGGACGTCTTGTGGAATCTTGCTCTTCTGTCCCTTTTTGTTGGTTCTTTGTGCTGTTTTCTACCTGGGGCCTCTCACAGGCTTCCTGTGATCCACTGCAGATAAACTCAAGAAAAATATTTATGTAGCATGTCAGGGCATGTTAGTGGGAATCCACAAGTAGAATCTCATCTTTTGTGGCCATATTGCTCTTTCTACTTTTCACAGGTACAGCAGAGTTGATCACAAGCCCTTTATGGGAAGGTCACGACTTTTCCAGGAAACATTTTTTAGAAGTAGCATGGGCAAGAAGGCAGCATTTTCCCTTTCTTTATTTCTTTGGACTGTTCAGCTGGAGACTATTTATCTTTCCCCCAATTTCTCCAAAACGTACTTAAATTCCATATTTTAAATTTAGGTTCATGAAGTACAACACGAATTAAAAATTGGTGGACACACTTATTTTTAATATGGGTACTAAATATGTTGGTTCTCTGTATTACAGAAGTTATTTACTTTCTGGCAGAGATATTTAAATAATCTTAAAGCACTCAAACAATAAAGAAGAGATTTAGAAGAAAGTTGTGAGAGTATTATTTAATCCCTAACGTTTCATGATTATGTTCAAAAATATGGAACTTGCAGGAATTTAATATCTATATCTTTAAACTATGCATAGAACGTATTATTATACTAACATGCAAGTAAGAAAATTTGTTTTCTCAGCAGTTTGGAATTGTTGTACATATGACCTGGGCTGATCCTCTTAGCTTAATGTTTTGCACCATTTGCATGCAGACATGCATCGATCTGATGTTTGATAGCGTTACAGGGTGTGACATGCATGCTGGGTTTGTCTGTTGTGAACAGCTTCATGTCTCCATTTTTCTTCAGGATCATTTTATACTGAAGAACTTTGTGCAGTTAGCTTCAACAATCAGTATTTTTTAGAAACGGTTCTACAGTATTACGTGGTGGTCATCCTGTTTTGAAACCTAGATGCTTATTTACTAATGAAGTGCTTGATTCTTGTCAGGCTGATATTGCAATTCTGTATAAACTGATCTGAGCCTCAACTCACTTGCTAGTTAAAAATGCATTATTTCTTTCACTGTAACACATTTGATGCAGTACTGGAGCAAGATGATTATGAAAAAGGAGTCAGAACAGAGATCCTCACTGTCCATTGATTTGCATCTTCTCTTGCACGTCTTGCAGATAATGTCTTTTGCTTTGTCCTCTTTCTTTCTTCCAGATTTCATTCTACAGTTTATTTCTCTTTCTCTGTCATCCATGTTGCTCTGCTACGATGAATAGAGGACCACATCCAACACAGTATGCCAAGGTCTATGATTTCTTTAGGCTGTGTGAGAGAACTCAGGACAACTTATCAGTGAAAAGGTTACAGAAAAAAATAGAGAAAACCAGGAAAATTCCATGAGAACTGACTAGCAAATAGTGAAGAATATTTGTAAATCCCTACCTTTCATATGCTGATCATCCACATTCAGTGTTGTCTGAATTGTTTTGCATAGTATGCAAAGCCCGAATATCCTTTTGTAGTTGGACAGGCTAACAATATTATTTTGGAATTTTTCTAGAAAATTTGGAAGATAGTACTGATGAGGATGCTCCATTGCATAGCCCTGGGACAGAAGGAAGGTGAGTGATCTTTGTTAACAGGTAACTGGGTCTGGTTCTAAAAAAATTACTGTCCTTTCTTCTTTTTGTAACACATATTACATATTCATCAGAAGATACCTGTGATGTTTTCCTTTCAGTTTGCCTATCAATTCAATGGAAAGAAATGTTAAATTAAAATATGCATTCTAAAAAGTTAACTATTTTCTTACTAATTGTGTTGCAATTTTTTGTTTAGTGCATTATCTTCGGATCTTTTGAAGCTTTGTGGTGAAGTCAAACCCAAAAGCAAGGTATACTGTAGAATAATTAGAATTCATACTTAAATGCATCTTCTGAAGGATGCTATTACTTTGCTCTAGAGTCATAAGTGAGCAAAGACAAACAGAAGGTGAACTGAGATAATGCTTGTATGATTTTTATGTAGTGTGTTTTTTGTTTAATACTCCTCTCTGTGAAGTAATAATAAAAATACATTGTTTTTCAGTATCTTGTGCTGAATTTTCATACTTACAGAACAGATATTTTCATAAATTAATAGCATTCCAAACTGAGTAGATCTGCAGTTTAGTATTAATTAACATCATGAAGGGTAGAGGTCGGGGTATGTTCAAGTTGGGGATTAGGAAAAGATTCATCACTGGGGGTAGTTGGGCGTAGAACAGGCTGCGCAAGGCCCCAGGCTGCCAGAGTTCAGGGAGTGTTTGGACAACACTCTCAGACACATGAAGTTTGAAGTTTGGGTGGTGCTGTGTGGAGCAAGGTGTTGGACTTGAGGATCCTTATGGATCTCTTCCAACTCAGAATATTCTATGATTCTACAAGTAATGAGGCTGCTGTTTAATATTAATGTCAGTGGAAACAGAAAACTTTTTTTTAAAATTTGCTTCTGCAGTCATAGGAATTTAAGGAGCTTATAAGATAAAGCTTGACCTTCAGGTTCTAAATTAAAGTTATCATTACAGGTAGGTTGGCTGCAGTTTAATATTAATGGCAGTGGGAACTAGAAATGTGTACTGTTTGTGATTTGCTGCTGTGGTCACAGGAGCATAAAGCAAATGGAAGTCAAAGTTCTAGCCTCTATGCTTTGATCTACAGTTGACTCTGGAGGACTGTATCTAAGTTGGCTGTTGCATTATTGATAGTGTTATTTGGCTGCGCAGCTCTTTGGGTAGGTAAACTGAAGGAGTTTGATCTGAAAATGTTGGCATGAAGTAAACATGCCATTTTTGTGAGGGCTGTGTTCACACTGGGCTTTTGTCTTTCCCAGAGGCGTTGCTTTCCTTAAGGAATAGATTTTAAATTTGCAGCAACTAAACTCCTGACATGCACGACCAGTTCTCTAAGAATGATTGTTGCACAGAGCTTGGCTCCTCTGTGAGGCTTTCTGCTGTTTCCTAACTGTTGAAATGCTGAGAGAATCTTAATTCATCTCAGCTTATGTCAATTTAGAAGTAGTTTAAGCCAAGTAGCAGCTACTTTTACATCGGAAGCATCATTGTAAGACATCATTGTTCACACTTTGCGTTACTCTTCTGCTTTAAAACATTTCATTTGGATAAATCTTAGGGAGTAATAGATGCTTTAGTTAGTTTCTGAGGACATCCTTTCAAACAGTTGTCAAGTCAATGTTTTTCAGTGTTGAATTTGACTTACCTTCTCTGAAACCATTGATGCACAGATGAGCTTCCTAATTTAGTTTCTAAAGGAAGCTGCCAAGTGATTTGAGGAGAATGCCATTTACAAGCTAATGATAATCTTAAATGTAGCACTGTTGAAACATTCTAGAACCTGATTAAGTCGCAACTTGCTTTTTGTTTGTCTCCAGGCCCGCCGGAGGACCACTACACAGATGGAATTGCTGTATGCAGATAGCAGTGATTTAGTCTCTGACATTAGTGCTGCAGAATCAACTTTGCCTGGCCTTCTTGCATCTGCTGCAGAAACACAAGAAAGTGGGATGACTGCTGACACAAATGATACTTCTGCTAGGGACAGAGAGTTTATTCCCCCACCATCTGGCTTACCTTCTAAGATAGGCAGCATGTAAGTTTGGCCATGCTGTACTAATTGTTCTTTGCTTTTTAAAAATGCATGTTGCCCATTTCTTCTAATCTATTATTTTAACTTTACAAGGTATGTTAATACACTTGAAGCTTACTAAATAATACTGACAAAACCTTTCCTTCTTTTCTGCTGTCACCACTTTAGACATTAGAAACACACTGTTGAAAATAATGTGCTGCTTACAGGAGATCCAAACTTCTCTTGTTTTGTCATAGTGAAATAATTATTGCCTTGTTTCTAAATTGCCTTGGGAAAAAATCCATCTAGTACCTCAGATACCTTGTTTCACTAGTGCCCTGGGAAATTTGCTTTCTTGAGGTGCAGCAAGAATATGCTTAAAACAGCAGGGAGATCAAAACCAAACCAAAACAAATAACTGGCAACAAGAAAAAATGGAGCAGTGTACCAATAGTATCTGAGTGTGGTCTCAGCTGTCAGGTAAAATCTTTGTGGGAGACTTCATGCAGACCATGCTTAACCTGAAGAAATCTTTACACTTGTGTGCTCAATTAATGTAAAGCTGATACAGACACAGTTAATACTAGGAATCCTCAAAAATCCTTTCTAGTTACAGACTGTGCTTATCAGCAGAACAGTTTTACTAATTGAAATTATTAGTTGATAGCAAATTAAACTAAAAATTTTGTTTTCATCCTTTTTATTATGAGGCCAGTAGTTGTCTCTCGTACTCCAATGTGTTTTATTTCATTTGCTCTTAGTGTTCTTTTTATATCTTGTGATATTACTGGTGATTATTAGCCATTCACTGCTAGAGATGCTAGAGACTTGTATCGTTAGATACTAGCTCATGTGTTCCATGAACTCTTGTGTAAACTAATTGCTCATGTTGTATTCAGTGATATGGAAAAACCATACCCCATAGCCATCTTCATGTCAGAAATGCTGGAATTAGGCATCTTTCACTATTCACCTGTCCTATCTGCATAATATTTTTACAGTGGTTTCCATCTGATGTACTCTTGCAATTTTGTGTTATTTCTACTGTGTGTTTCTGGCATGTGCTTGAAGTGGCAACCATAAAAACATAAAACCGAACCATAAAACACTGCTGACAGCAATTATTAACCCATGCTGATGCCTTCAGTGCATTTTACATGTTGAATATGCTTGAAAATAATGCTCTTGGGGGGGTTAGGATATGTGGGGAAACCCACATATTTTAGCTGTTAGCCTGAGTTCACTAGAGATTGTTGAAGCTTCAAGATTTAAAACATCAAGTTTTGTGGCCTGTCAACCAGGACTCAGGTAATAGCAACTTTTGCCTAGCTCCATCTGCTTTGTGAAAGTCATCTAGCATGTAGCAAAACAGAATTTTTCTACACAGCTGTATTCTGTGAGCATTATATAGTTGTCAGTAAATCAGTTCAGTCAGCAGCAGGCCTCACTTCTTGTGTTTTCTTATTGCTCAAAATTGCCACAATCAGCCTGGCCTATAGTGATGTCTTTGCTGTAAGTGAAAGGGTGTTTTTCTGGCTTTTTTCTTTTTCTTTTTCTCTTTTCCTCTTATTTTTTTCTTTTTCTCTCTCTCTCTTTTTTTTTTTTTTTTTTTTTTTTTACAACTAGAGCTCAGTATACTTTCTACAGCATGTCTGCTTTTGCAGGTCATTTTTGAAGAAAGGCTGTCTTTGTGAGCCACCTGGCCTTCCCATTTGAACTATGTGGTACTCACAGCTATTGTAATAAACTACATTCTGAAGCAGAATGTAATCTTACCCGCAGTGAGCTTTAACTTCCTTGTGTCACTTAATTGGCATTCTGAGATGTGGAAGTAATAAAAGTAATCCAAAATATGCATTCTCTGGAAGTAACAGTAATTTTATGCTGAGATGTGAAGTTAAGTGTGTGCTTACGCACAAACGTTGCTGTGGAAACCCCACTATTTTCTTAGTTCTGTGATGATTCCAAGACCTGGACCTGAATGTCCATGGCTAATGCTGAGTCCAACAGTCAGTTTGTTTGGAGTTCTGTTTACAGGCACAGCTGGTTCTTTGTCCTTTGATACTCCTACTTTATCTCAGCAGCCTCTGCAGAGCAGAATGGTCTCCTGTAGGTCTTGTGTCAGATTTGCCAGCTCTGTTCAGATGTCTCTGATATTATGGAAGTCTTAAAGGATGCTGAAAACCTGTAATTAGATGTGTGTCTTGCACTTTTTCATTCAGGTCATCAATAGGGATGCACCTGATCTGGGGTATTTTGTTCTTACACCTGTGCTTAGGAAGCTCACTCTGGTAAGAACACTCCATTTCTATGATACCTGCATTTCCAGGTATTCAAAGTGGATTCTTGATATAATCATACTCTTTACACCTTCTTTGGAGCCAGAGGTGGAAGACTCAAGGGACATGTGGAGAGTAAGCAAGAGAGAGCTGGCTCTATGCCTGACTATGCAGCACAGTGGTGTGAGGTAGAGGAGTCTGTGCTCTGCCTATGGTGAGGCTTTTTTATTCTAGCAACTACGCAGGATATGTGTAGGCAACCAAACCAGGAAAGACTAGCTCAAGTTCTTCATCCTTGCTGAAAAATCTGTCTATTGGGCTGATCATAGGACTTCCTTGTGACTCAGAACTTCTTCATTCTTAAATACATACTGGTCTGACATAAAAAGAGGGGAGAGAGTGTATTCTGTCCCTTCATTTGTGTCCTTTGCAGAATATGCTTGGAGGTAAGTAACATGGAGTGGATTGAACCTATCTATCCTTCTTGTTTATGCTCTTTAACTGCTGGTCTTATATGCAAAACTGTAGAAGTTACTGCTTCTGCTCTCCATTCACCTGCCTTGTGAAGGCCCTGTTTGTTTGCAGCTGGGGGACAGTAGGGTCTGCATGCAGTTCATGGCACTAGGCCCCAGAGGTGGGGCATTCTCCTTGTTATGGGTGCTTGTGTTCAGCATACAAGTCATCGATCAGGACAGTTTGGTCAAGTAGTTGTTCTTGGTTATGCTTTCCATTTTAAATTGTTACCTTGCACACCAGTGGATGGATTTTATATGGCACATTTTATATTCCCTTTCAAGGGAAACTGGCATAGCTTTTCTCATGGAGAAGTTGCAGATAAGTAGATTCAGATCTGTGGAGCAGTGATGCTGTTAACTATGTCAAGATGGTTGCCTGCCCACTTGATTTCGTCTGCTTAATAACATTTTATGGCACAAAAGCACCTTCATAATCCACAGAATTGCTTTCTTCCTTTTAGTAATAATTTCTGGTCATTATATTGGTATAGACAACCTCTAAGCACACTAGGAAAGCATAAGTCAAAGCACATATGGCTTTTCTGTTTGCCCAGCTGGTGAGAAACAGGAGTGGAGACCTTCCAGATCCTGTTTTTCATTTGTGGTGAAATGATGACACTTGAATGCTAATGTTAGTACTGCGCACTTGATCATTTGCTATTTTTAATGGGGAGTGAATGTTGAGATGAAGACCACAGTGACTGGAATTATTTTGGAGAAAGAGCTGGAGAGACAAATGAAGAAGGGAGGAGAGGGTAGGAAAAAAAGTGTCGTAATGGTCAGACTGGCTATGGAAAATACCTTTTTTTTCCCCTTACTGATTGTGAGTTTAGTATCTCTTCTTGAATATCTTAGTTAACAGTTGAATTCATTCGTAAGAGCCATTATGATTTCTCTGTTCTTTGTGTCCATTTTAGATCTCAGACCTTCTGTCTTCTCTGTGATCTGAATTTGAAATACATGCTCCAGCTACCGTTATCTTTTTTTTTTTTTTTTTTTAGTCAGTTTCTTTTATTATTGAATTAGTAGATCTACTGTTTGTTTTCAGTATCTTCTCTTGATATGTCAATGAACTGTGAAGGTTAATAAATTTGGTATATTTTTTGTATTAAAATGTGAGAGCAATATAGACCCAGTAGTCTCAGGAGCTGCAATAATTACTTGCTTCTGAGTGAAAGAATGACAGTTAATATAGGAAAAGCAATTCTGTCAAGAGTAAAGTAAAGTAATGATTCCTCTGTCTTTAGTTCTAGACAGCCATCTTTGTCAGAGAAGAAGATATCTGAACCTTCACCTTTAGCCAAGAGAAAAACATATGAGAAAACAATGGAAAAGACAAAGGCAAAAGATCAAAAACTGTAAGAATCTTTAAAATTTTTTCTCTGAAATAATTTAAACTATGGATATGTGTTCTTGAAAAATAAATCTGTATTTTCTGTTTCTTTAATTTTAGGGCAGTTTTTTATTGTTGGCAATAACATTTTGTTGTTCAGTGTGTGTGTGTGTGTGTGTGTGTGTGTGTGTGTGTGTGTGTTTGCTTTTTTTGTGTGTGTTGTTCGTTTTCTCCCAGAGTATCTTTCTATACATGAATAACTCTGGGCCAGAGCTCTGAGAAAACGTCCTTTGGAGCATTTGCAAATGATTTATTGTATTTTTACTAAAGGGAAGATATCAGTTTCTCCAAGAAACTGCAGTTATATTAGCACTTTTCCATTTTACGTATGTGATTATTCTTTTTTTCCTACATGGAGCTTCCACTGTTAGCACGTAATCTTTGAACATTTTGTCACCTTGCAATCTGCAGCAGTTTATTCTTAAGTTTATTGCCTTCTTTGTGAAACATCTGTACCAAGCGTTATAATTTTATTTATTTTTCTTAAAAAAAAAAAAAAAAAAAAAAAAGAGGATCTAACATTGTGAGGCATGTTGCATTTAACCTCTCTAACCATTCACAATCTGTTAAAGCAGATGTTCTTTTTTTCTTGTAGCTCAGATTCTGGAACCCCAGAGGCTAGTCTGTCACCTCCTACTTCCCCACCAAGCCGGCCCCGTAATGAAATGAATGTTTTTAGTCGTCTTACTGTTTCTCAGGGAAACACATCAGTTCAGCAGGATAAGTAAGTCACTGAGGGAAGCCTCAGCCCCCAACCAGGGAACTGCAGAGCACACTCGAGTTACCAGTGTAGTATCTGTTAGATATTCCGCCTTTCATCTCCTACAAAACAGGAGGAGATGCTTCTCCTGTTTTTATGTACTTTTTTTTGTTTTCAAGTAAAATACTCAAAACTTTCATTAAAGTGCAGAAAAAAATTCAAGAAAAGCAATTTCCTGCTGAACCTTGTTTCCTCTAGGTTATGTCTGGTACTTGTAGTTTCAAAGCTTTCAGATGTGACAGAAAAGAGAAGTAGAATACTTAGATACGTGTTTTTGTGTGTGTTTGCACTTGAAAGTAGGATTTAGTTAACAATGTAGGAAATTACACTTTTGCCAGTTTTCCAGTTATTCCAGCTCGGAACACTGTCGCAATAGTCCCACAACTCTGGATGGTGGCGTATTGAAATATCTAGAACACAGTTGTTTAGAGAATATCCAAATTATTGAACTGACTAACATTCTGGGGTGGTCTGGAGGAGCAGGTGGTGTTGATACCCTGGTTAAAAGAAGTAGAGCTCAGTTTCCTACCATGTTAAGCATCTGTTTCTGCAGAAGCTGTAGTCCAAATTGCAGCAGCCTTGAGTTGAACAGAATCTTTACTGCAGGTTTCACTACTGATAATAGTGCCCTGCAGCTGTTATGGACTGCAACTTATACTCAGAATGAACCTCTGGCTTGGACTATAGTAAGACAGAAAACAGGTCTCTGTATGCTATTTGTTTTCTCTTTCATAATACTTTGCTCTTTTTCAGTGGTCTGCAGAGTCATCGAATACTAAGCAGTAGCTTACAAGGCTTCCAATATCTTAACTGTGCTTCTAACTTCTGTATCTTAGCTGCATTATCTTATTGCTAACTCCCACTTAACTTCTTTCATTTTCTCTAAACTGGCTTTGAAATAAAATGGAAACTGCTGAATCTGATTTGAGTTAGAAATGAAGGAAATCTTAGGACGTTGCAAATGTTCTTTTCTTTTTGTGTGTTTTGTGTCTTTATTTTTATTTTTAAACCCTTTTCAAAAAGGAGAGGTAAAGTATTTTGAAATAAGAATAATTTGCAAATTGCTGTTCCTGTTTCAGGGGACTATCAGTATGTGTAATAATATATATTTTCCAGAATAACATTTTGTATGTTTCTTCTACACTTAACAGGCATTGATCAATTTTTTTTTTTCCCTTTTCCTACTTTCATTAGTAATTATATTGCAGAGGTTTAATTTTGTTCCCATCTTCCCCTTTTACTTTGTTGCCTTTTGTAAGAAAAAGTTGGGGAAAAAAGAAGGCTTAGCAGGCCTTACTCAGCTTCTTGGTTTGAGACAGCTCTCTGGGCAGTAAATTACATTCTTAGATTTTTTTGTGACTTCTTCCTATTTTCCCTAATATTATCATGAGTTTATGGCATATCTTCAGCAATGCTGCCTGCTGTAAGTGAGCTTGCATTGCTCTTCTGAATTGGCCATGCTGTTGTTTGTTCTTCTTGTATGGAGGCTTTACTTTGCTGCTGATACCTATATTCTTTCTCCTTACAATTCCACCACTGTTGATTGTAGGTCTGATGAAAGTGATTCCTCTCTGTCGGAGGTACACAGGTACTCTCTTTCTCTTTTCTGTTTTCCTGGCATCTCTCACTGAAGTTATTCCAGTTCTTAGGAAATTTCATTTTGCTGCATGAATTTTCCTGAGCTTGTGCACCATAATTTTTTTTTTTTTTTTGCTTTTGTCAGAGGGTTAAAAATTTGAAATTTTGGTCCAGCATGTCTTCCCTGCTTTCTCCCCCCCCTTCCTTCTTTTTTTTTTTTTCTCCTTAAGCATGTCAAGTGTTTTTGTCATTTTGTTTGAAATGAAGGAGGGTGTACAACTTTCCCCAGATGTATTCTGTCTACTTTTTTTGAAAAAGAGAAAATGTTCTCTTGTTTTCTCGATGCCTTTCTCTATTTAATTCCTCCTTGTTCAGTTGTATGCTTTGGTCACTAGGAATTAAATTCTAATGCAAATAAAAGTGAATAAGTTCTACCATGTCTTTCTGATAGGAAGCATAGTTGTTCCAGAGATTAAAGAAATGTCTCTGCTCGTGTTCTGTGTGGCTAAACTGTGGCTTAGAATGTTGGCACTCAGTGAAAAATTGGATTTCATCAACAGAAAGGCGGTCAGAGGGCTAACAATAATGTGATGGTAGCTTTGTCTCGTCATAGGAGCATCTGCAGCATGTTTTGTCTGCAGATTTCACAACACTGCACACAGATAGATAAACAGCTTTGGGACATGTATTTTTTCCCTCACGTTCAAGGGAAACAGTGGATGAGAGCAGCAGTAGGAGTAACTCTCAGTCTAGAGCAGCACGATCCACTGGAGAATATTACAGAGAAAAAATGTTAGTTCTGTATAGTGTCAGATAACAAAAGCATGGAGACCTAAAACAGTAGTAACAAAAAGAAAGTAAACTACCTATTCTATAATTCTTGAAAACACTGTAAAAAGGGGCATATTGGAGTATAAACTTCTTATCCCAAAATGCAGAAGTTAGGAATTCTGTGAATAAAGATGTGCTGTGCAATAAAGATGCAGTAAAATCATAATTTCTAAGACTGTACCAGATAAACAAGCTAATTGCCACAAAATTGGCTCATAGCAGTAGAGGCTTCTTCCTTCCTGTAGCAAGCTTCTGCGGATCACTATTATTATTGTTATTATTACTTTTTACATTTTCCTAAAGCTGATGGTTTTTTGACATCATGACTATTTCTTGGAATTATGAATACAGTCCCCAGCCAAGCGTGGCAGTGAGTCCTAACTGTGAGCTGGTCAGGTCACAGCGTTCTGTTGCATGTTTGTGGCCATTACTAGGGCCAACGAGGAAGGCTTTTCTGCACTTCACAGAAATCGATGGGTTCCCTCTGTACATGCAGTAGTGTGCATGGGATTTTAGACCGCTAGTAATTATTATTTGGTGATAAATCATTTGATTTTTCTTTTCTTTTCTTTTTTTTCCTGCTGGGTTTCAGCCTTTTTGTACCACTACAGAGTTAGCTACAAATGACATGGAAAGATTCCTTTGGGGATATCTGTACTCCCACCACGCTCTCTTATAGCCACTGAAGTTTGGCAGTGGGTACAAGGCAGTAGGGGCCCTTACTCAGATGCACAAGTCAGCAATTCTCCAAGCTTACCTGTAGAAGGAAGCTAATGCCAGATGGCTTCTGAGTTTGGAATTGGCTGTGTACATTACACTGACTACGTTTTTCAGGCATGCTATTTGGACTAAGTTGTCTTTCTGCAATTTGCAGTGTTATGGCTGTTCCAATGAATCCAGTAGCTTTCAGTATCTTGCATGTACCCAGCACTCAGCATCTTGCCTCTTTATTTCTTTTTTTTTTGTATGTGATTTCCTTTAGCCCAATGTTGGCACTTGTTAAAGCTAAATAGTAAAAATTCTTAAATAGTTTATGAAAGGCGTTCAGTTGTTCTGCCCTTACATGTAAGAAAATGAAATTTACCAAAATGTAGGGGAAAAGTTAGTTACTTGATTTGTCTGTTACTATGCCCATCTCACACTTCCTTTTTTTTTTTTTTTCTTTAGGGGGATAATCAACCCATTTCCTGCTTCAAAATGCATCCGAACTTCCCCACTGCAGTGTATCTACACAGCTGAAGGACATGCCAAGCCTGTGCTTTGTGTAGATGCAACAGATGACCTTCTCTTCACTGGATCTAAAGGTTAGGCAACTTTTTTGTATATCTGTGGTGCATGTGCAGGCTGCTTTTTCATCTTTGGTTATTGTGAAATACCCAATTTGTGCTTACTGCAGTGAATGCAGTGGAAAATTGTGAGTGCCTATAATGCAACGTAAGCTGAAGAAAGATTTACTGCAGTTATGTACAGGTTTTCAGTCTTACTGTTTAGTATTTAGCTATTTATTTATAGTGGAAAAAGTAACTCAAAAACAACATTAATACTAGTTGAATGATATGGTAACAGCTGCTTACATGATGTGCAATGCAAAGTAATAGCCTCAGGCTGTAGAATTATAGAATAGAATTATAGAATCACTGTGGTTGGAAAAGACCTCTTAAGATCATCCAGTTCAACTGTATATCTATCAGCAGTATTTGCTACTAAACCATGTCCCTCACCACTACATCTAGATGTTTCTTGAGTACCTCCAGGGTTGGTGACTCCATTACCTCCCAGGGCAGTCTGTTCCAGTGCCTGACCACTCTCTCAGAGAAGAAATATTTCCTAATGTCCAACCTTAATCTCCCTTGGTGCAACTTGAAGCCATTCCCTTTATTTCCATTGCTAGTTACAGGGGAGAAGAGGCCGACTCCCACCTCACCACAGCCTTCCTTCAGGAAGTTGTAGAGTGCAGTAAGGTCACTCCTATGCCTCCTCCTCTACAGACTGAACAATCCCAGGTCCCTCAGCTGCTCCTCGTAAGACCTGTGCTCCAGATCCCTCAATGTAATGAAAGGCCCAAAACTGAACATGGTACTTGAGATGTGACCTCACCAGTCCTGAGTACAAACGCCAACCAACACCCCCAGGTCCATTTCCTCTACGCAATCTTCCAGCCACTCTGGCCCAGCCTTGTCTGGGGTTGTTGCAGCCAAAGTGTGGGATCTGGTATGTGCACTTCTTGAACTTCATACCATTGGCCTCAGCCCAGTGATCCAGCCTGTCCAGGTCACTCTGTAGGGCCTCCCTATCCCCAGATCGACACTTCCTGCCAGTTTGTTGTCATCTGCAAACTTAGTGAGGATGCACTCAATGCCCTCATCCAGGTCATCAATAAAGATATTGAAGGGCAGGCCCCAGCCCTGACCCCTGGGGAACACCATTTGTGACAAGTTGTCAGCTGGATTTAACTCCATTCATTACCACTCTCTTGGCCTGGCCATCCAGCCAGTTCTTTACCCAGTGAAGAGAGTATGTGTACAAGCCATGGGCTGCCAGCTTCTCCAGGAGAATACTATGGGAGACAGTGTTTAAGACTTTGTAGTAGTAGAGGTAGGAATTAGCATATCTTAACAGCAGAACAAGGGGAAATAAAACCATGGTTTTAAGTTGAGGGAGAGAAGATTTAGGTTGGATGTCAGGGAGAAGTTCCTTACAGAGGGAGTGGTGAGGTGCTGGAACAGGCTGCTCAGAGAGGTTGTGGAACACCTCCGTCCCTGGAGGTGTTTGAGGCCAGGTTGGATGGGGCCCTGGGCAGCCTGGTCTAGTATTAAGTGTGGAGGTTGGTGGCCCTGCATGTGGCAGGGGGGTTGGAGATTCATGATCCTTCAGGTCCATTCCAACCCTGGCCATTCTGTGATTCTTTGGCTGTCCTGCCTAAAGAGTTCAAACAGATTAAACCTGCAAAGCTAGGCTATTTTCTACTTACCGTTTGCATCTCGTTAACTGTCCCACTGTCCCCTTTGGTCTGTAAAAGTTGTATAGCTGTTATGGGATGGGCTACATTTTAGTAGTCACTACATTTCCTACTGGGTGGAACAATCTATAAACTCTTCAAGCTGGTGGGAATAGTATTTTGGAAGAAAACATTTCCCTCCTGTTTTTTTTTTGGTGACTCACCATTCACTCAGATTGACTTAAAGGGAGCATAACCAGACCTCAGTAATCATTTACATAACTTTCTGGGTGATATTTAGGAGTGTTTGTTTTTGTATTCTTTTTCTGGGCTTTTTCATATGAGACAGGTACATCAAAGGACTTAGGTTTGCAATCATGCATGAAACTCTTGGAGACTCCTGTTCTCCCAAATAAAGCCTGTATAATAATCCAGTGTTATTCTTGACCACAAAAGATCAGATAATTTGCAGTGGTGGCTGTAAAGAAGTTAATGCCTCCAACAGACTCTCCTTCTCACATAACATATAAATTCTGAAACTTCAGAGCATCCTTGTTTATTCCTGTATTAACACAGACAGCACCATCTGAGTAGATCTTCCACTGCTAACATTTAGATGTGGTTTCTAGCTACTCTACTGCCTGTGTATTAAGAATACCAAGACACAGTTGGCAAACTTTTGGCCTTCAAAGTTTTTAGCCAAGGTTTTAGCATTTTGTGACTGTATACAACTGCAAGAAGATGAAGTATTTTCAGCTTCTGCAAATGCTGCTCACTTGATCTGTATTGAGATTTCAAATTTAGTGGCTACAAAGGAGGAAAGGCTTTAATATATGTATAATTTTAACACAGGAATGCTTGCAGATGTTGTAAATATTTGCTTTCTTGTCATATGCTAGCTTCTCATGCTCACCTTCTTCCTGCTGTTGTCACAAGTGCTGACATGTGAAGTTTGCTCTTCATGCTCCCAGTATTTATTCCAGTTAAAAATGTACTCCTGAAATATAGAGTGATTCTGACATGGTGGAACAAGGAGGATTTCAGGTGTGGACTGTATTCATGTTGCAAAATTCTTAAACTTCTACGTGTTTGGGGTTTTAGCACACAAAAGTTTGCAGTGTTTAAATTGCATTGCTGCTGAAGGAAACCTATGACTAGAGCACTTATGCTGGAATTTTCAGAGGCAGCTACTGCACTGAATAGTTTGTGTTGCTTTTTGCCTTTATACTCACTGTGTCTGTCAGCCCTCCTTCAACCTGAAGCATACATTTCTTCCTGAACTATGATCTTGATGAAGAATTTGTACGTGTAAAATTGGGTGATTTTCTTGATAGTTGTCAATCATCCAAACCTGACAGCATACAAATTTCCTCTTCCATTCTTTCCTTGGGAAGGAATTTTATGTTTTTAAAATATTATTGGACGTAATGTGCATATCTAGAACTTGACATAGGAGGATTAACCTTGCTTTGCTTTGATCATGGTAGATGATGCCCTTGTGTACTCTTGAAGGCCAATTTAATGTGGACATTTTGTGCAGTGCATATCAAAAGAGAGCAATATATTTGAGTGCAAATGGATATATGGATTCTTTTGTTTATTTTAATTACTGGCCTTTTGGAAAAACATGATGTATTTAATTTTAATTCCCTCCCCCCCTTTTTTTGTTTTTCTTGACTTCATGTAGACCGTACCTGTAAAGTCTGGAATCTGGTAACTGGACAAGAGATTATGTCTCTAGGGGGTCATCCAAACAATGTTGTTTCTATAAAGTATTGCAACTACACAAGTTTGGTCTTCACAGTCTCAACCTCCTATATCAAAGTGTGGGACATCAGAGATTCTGCTAAGTGTGTTCGGACATTGACGTAAGTATGTTAAACCTTGAGTAACAGGAGCTTGAATGAGTTTTAATCTAAAATTAAATTAGATTAAATTCAGTAGTGCACAGTGTAACTCAAATATGCTGCTGGGGCTGGTGGTTTTATTTACACATTCAAGCTAAGTCAGTGTAGGATGTTGGTAATCTATGAAAACATGAGTTTGCTTGCGTGCATGCCTGTAGTGTTTTAGCAAGTCTTTGGTATTCACTATTGGCTTTATAGTCTTTTTATAGTCTTTTTGCTCAGGTAAATGGGCTTTATTTTAAACAACATGTGAAGTAAGGAGAAAATAATGGAGTTGTCTTACTAATTTCTACTTTTTTCTGCTCCCTCCCTTTGCTTAGGTCTTCAGGCCAGGCAATGCCTGGTGATGTGTGTTCGGGAAGTACCAACAGAACGGTCACTATCCCAGCTGGAGAGAATCAGATTAATCAGATTGCACTAAATCCAACTGGCACATTCCTCTATGCAGCTGCTGGAAATTCAGTGAGGATGTGGGACCTGAAAAGGTACTGAACACCAGTGGAAAAGCCTTCCTTCAGAGGTCACATGCACATATGAAGCAAAATCAGTGAGATGTTTCCTGTGTGTGGTAATATCCATAACCATGAAATATAGCCAATTAGCCAATAGCTAATTTTTGCTACAGTTGTTACTGAGATAGTGGTGGAAGAGCTCTTTATTTCCTCACATGGTAAAGTTATGATGAATTGTTTAAGTAAAAATTACTGGGGAAAAAAAAAAAGCACTGAAGAATGATGTGATAAATTCATGTTTGTGACTGGTAATTGCCAATGAGATTATGAGAATCTACTGATGTAATGCAATATAATGTGTGGCTATAATCATTATTAGATAGTACCTTTCCAAACAGAACCCGCACTCAAAGAGACCATTCAAAATACTTTATGGGGCCTGATGTGTTTGTTCGTTTTTTGAAATAGAAGCTTTGGTTTCCACTTAACAATGATTTAGCATTTTTATGTGGGCATAAGCAGCAGAGTATGTAACCAGAGGATAAGTTAGAAGACCCATTCTAGCAGGAACTGTTATATGTTTTATGTTGGATACACAAAAAAATAGAAAATCCTCAGTCATTTCTTCTCTTGTTCTTGAAGATTTCAGTCTACGGGAAAGCTAACTGGTCACCTGGGTCCTGTCATGTGCCTTACTGTGGATCGAATTTCCAATGGACAGGATCTTATTGTCACTGGTTCAAAGGACCATTATATAAAGGTAAGCCATTAGTATTTGCCTATGTATTTTAACTCCTAGCATCAGTATGAGTTGCAGGCTTCAGCAGAAGTGACCCATATCTGAAATCTGATAACTCGAATGGAAATCCTTCTATCAGTTATAGATTATGGATAATGTTTGATCTTAATAACTAGCACTTAAGTGGTATTTTTATGATGTGATGGAATGTTCTTGAAAACATCATGGATCAGATTGTCTATAATTAATCTTTTTCCTCACTGCATGTGAGGTGGACTTCAGGTGTGTGAGGTCTTAGAGACCTATTTGCAACATCTCCTGTTTAGGTGCTTTAACAGGCTCAAAGTTGCTTCAAAGAATGCATCTGTTTTGGGGTGCAGGCCTAGTTCCTTTGACAGGGATGCTCTGTATGCTCCCGCATGGGAGCATAAGCATTACCCCAGTTGTGAAGTGGGAATGGAGAGAGGTCTGTGCACTTCAGTCTTTTGGGTGATTCATTAGCACGTACTTTTTGATTGCTCTGAGTTGTGTTAAAGACTATGAATAGTGAGAATATGAATCTCACTATGCATAGTTAGATTATGATGCTTTCTTGTGTCTCATCATCGTGATTAATTTCATTCAATGTTAGGAAGTCTGTTCTTTATTTGCAGCCTTTTTTTTTTTCTACTTCAGCCAGAGTGTATCTGAACCCACAAGCTCCAGTGCACATCTCCAAACTGGTTAGATAGCAGATAATTTTGCTAATCATATTTGAACGTTTATTTTATTTTAGATGTTTGATGTAACTGAAGGGGCTCTTGGAAGCGTAAGTCCTACACACAATTTTGAACCTCCTCACTATGATGGCATAGAAGCACTTGCTATTATGGGAGACAACCTTTTCAGTGGATCCAGAGATAATGGAATTAAGAAATGGGACTTGGCTCAGAAAGACCTTCTTCAGGTAATATAAAAACCACATGACTAATGTGACAGTCATGTTTAGTACGTTTCTCAGGCTGTGTAAATGTTCAAGTTTAGATGATGACTATTCAGAAGGACAAGGTGATGGGAGGTAGTCAACATGAATTCATGAAGGAGGAACTACACCCAGTCAGACTGAAGCCTTCTCTGACTGGCTTGATGGATGAGGGGAAGAATGTCATGTTGTTTATCCAGACTGAACAAGGCTTTTTATGCTGTCTGTAAAAATATGCTTATTCACAAACTGATTAAGAATGTGAAGCACTAGAAAAGTGCACTGTGAGATGAACTGGAAACTGGCTGAACTTCTGAGCTAAAAGGATTATGACCAGCAGCACAAAGCCCAGTCACTAGTGCTGTATCCCAGGTGTCAATATTGGGAGTGATTCTCTTTAATGTTTTCATTGATGGCCTGGATGATGCAGCAGAGTGTAGTCTGAGCACGATTGCTGGTGATGCAAAACCATGAGGAGTGGTTGGTAGAGCAGATGGTTGTGCTGCCCTTCAGAAGGGCTTCTACAGGCTGGTGCAGAGGAGCTTCATGAAGTTTGACAGATGGAAATGTCAAGTCTTGCATCCCATAAGGAGTAACTCCAAACACCAGTAGTACAGCCTGGGGACCAGCCAGCTGCAAAGTGTTCTTGCAGCAAGTGTACTCCTGGACTGCATTAGGATGAGAGTTGATGCAGTGTTGACACTTCCCATCTGCTCTGCACTGGAGAGATGCATCAGGAATTGCTATCTCCACTTCTGGGCTCCCCAGTACAAGAGAGACATAGACAGACTGGAGGAGGTTCAACAAAGACCTGAAACTGTGCTTTGTGCTGAAAGAGCTTTAAGAGGATTAGGGAACTGGAGCCTTTCTCATGAGGAGACACCAAGAGAGCTGGGTCTCTTCAGCCTGGAGAAGAGAAGGCTCAAGGGGACATTGTCAGTATATGTAAATACCTAAAATAGTAGGGAGAAAAGACAATGGAGCCAGATACTGCTCAGTAGTATCCAGTGGATAAAAAAATGAACAGTGGGCACAAACTGAAATGCAGGAAATTCCATTTAAATGGGGAGGGGAAGAAAAAAAGCTGGACAACTTACTCTGGCTGACCCAGATTTGAGTAGGGGGTTGAACTAGATGATCTCCAAAGATCTCTGCCAATCTCAGCTATTCTGTGCTTCTGCAGACATAACATAGAATCATAGAACCATGAATGTGTTGGAAGGGACCTTTCAGATCCTCCAGTTCCAACCCCCCTGCAATAGGCAGGGACATCCCCCACTAGACCAGATTGCTCAAAGCCCCATCCAGCCTGGCTTTGAATGCTTCTGAGGAGGAGGAAGCATGCACAACCTCACTGGGCAACCTGTTCCAGTGTCTCACCATCCTGACAGAAAAGAATTTCTTCCTAATATCTAGTCTAAATCTACCCTCTTCTAGTGTAAAGCCATTTCCCCTTGTCCTGTTGCTACATGCCCTTATAAAATGTCCCTCCCCAGCTTTCCTGTAGGCCCTGTTCAGGTGCTGGTAGGCTGCTATATAAGGTCTCCTTGGAGCCTTCTCTTCTCCAGGCTGAAGAGCACAGCTCTCTCAGCCTGTCCTCATAGGGAAAGTGCTCTGTCATCTCCATGGCCCTCCTCTAGACCTGCTCCACTCCAACACCATGTCTTCTTGTGTTGGGGGCTCCAGGACTGGATGCAGTACTTCAGGTGGGTTCTCACCAGAGCAAAGTAAGGGGCAGAATCTCCTCCCTTGACCTGCTGGTAAGGACATTTGTAACTCAGTTATTTTTCAGTAAATGCAGATGTAATTTTGATCTGATCACATACATGATGATGTAGTAGAATCTAAATACTGCAGCTTTCATCTGTATTCCTGGTATTTCTTGACACAACCATTTTAGATAAGGATCAAAGCTTGAAATAGAGCTGAACCTGCTTCAAAATATTAATAGTAACATTCCAAGACATGAGTCCTGAGGTGGAAGACTTAACTGGTGAAAATTACTCAGCAAACATATTATTCAAAAAAATTTGGAGATCATCTGCATCACTTAGTGCAATGCATCTCAAGCAGTGTATATTATAGTTAAAGCTTCAGGATGTTCCTAGAAAGCTGCAGGATGTTCCTGAAAGCTTTCTCCACGTTGGGAATGGTAGCAAAGAGTTCCTGCAGAATTGGTGAAGAGCTGGTCCTGCTTCCCTTAAAAGAAAGCAGACTTGAGCTATTACATGCCTGGTGTTTGTATCCCTGGTGTCTTTTGTTCTTGGCCATTCTGTGAAGCGTTTTGCTTTCTGAATCAGCAGTAAAATGTTAATGTCCTTCCTCAATAAATAGTAAATGATTTTAAGTGCCCTATCATAAAATCATTTTAGGAACTGTAATGGGAAGATAAGAAAGGAGAAAGGCAAATGGTTTTTGCTTCCCTGGTGTATTTTTTTATCAGTGTGTTGGATTTTCTTTAACTTTCAAAGTTTTACAGACAAACTCAAAAAACCCACAGTAGCCATGTGTGCATTCAAATATGCATCTGAACCCTCTTCCATGTTGTTTATCCATGTTGTTTATACATAGATTTAGCATTATCCCAAAGTAATTTTCTGTTCCACCTCATGGCAGTTGTGCATATTGGATTTTTTTTTCTTGTTTTGTAGCACTGATTTTCAAAGAGAAACAAATCCAAGGTGACTCATATAGAAGTAGCCTCGTGGAAGAAAGGCACCTCCTTACTCTAATAAAAAAGTAGTAGCAGGGCTTGACATAATAGATAATCAACCACAGGGCTGGAATTGGGCTTAGAATCGGGATTTTTTTTTTTTTTTTTTTAGTTTCTGCCTCTGAGCTCAATCATCTATAATTCTTTTTCACCCTATGAGATTCATCTGCTTTCTGTTTTTCAGCAAGTTCCTAATGCTCATAAGGACTGGGTGTGTGCTCTGGGCCTGGTGCCTGGTGCTCCAGTTCTGCTCAGCGGCTGCAGAGGAGGAACCCTCAAGCTCTGGAACGTTGACACCTTTGCACCAATTGGGGAGATGAAGGGACACGACAGTCCTATAAATGCAATCTGCACCAACTCCAGCCAGATTTTTACAGCATCAGAGTGAGTTTTTCTGATCCATAGGCCCCTTTTGTTGTATAGTTTTAGCTATAGTTTTACCCATGCAAACGTGTTTAGATCTTCAGCTGTGTTAGTCATTAGCAGAAGTGGGAGGACCTGGTCCATGCCTCTCAGTGCCAGTAACCTACAGCAGTGGTCTCTGCAGTGGGGTGTGTGCACTGCAGGGTATGCGAAAGTGAGCCTTTGGGATGGGAGAAGAAAATACTGGAACTTTGATGGTGCATATGTGTAGATGATAAGTGGATAACAATAAATATATTGGTAGTGCATGCTCAGTAATTTCTTAGTGATGGCATGCATAAGTAAAACAGTTCAGAGACCTCTGATGTTTAGGATGGCAGAGGGAGAATTGGACAATACTGAGTATTTTACCATCTTGCACCTCTGTGCAATTAGGCTGTTCACTGACATATTCCCAAATGTCAAACTCCTGACACGTGGGGATGTTTCTAGATGCCATGTTAAGTGCTCGCCTAGAGCAGAAGCTTTGCAAGTTGTCTTCCTGTCGTTTAAACACCTTGATATCTGCTACCTCAGTAAATGTGGGCATTTTAAGAAATGAAACTAATCCTGAAGAAAGAAAAGTGGAGGGGACTGCACTTAGAGGTGCAGGCTTTGCATGGGAGCTGTGAACACTGTCATCTTGTGTCCTGGTGCTAAGCATTGTTGGAATTGACAAAGATTATGTCCCTATTAATTAATATCTAAAGATATTAATATATTTAGGTCACGTGCAAATGAAATTTTATTATTAGCAGAAAATTCCATCCTTTTGGGACTTGTAATACTGTGCTGAAGGCCTCCAGAACTTGTGGTGTTTGAGTCAGAAAAATTCTATGCTGTGCTAAAGTCTGGTCTGACTGCTGCATCCTGAGGTGTTTCTGTGTTGTTGTTTGTTTTTGGAGGAGGAAATAAGAAATACAGGAGTTGCCATTTGAGGCAATCTTCTCAATAGTAAGTACATGAGTGAGTGCTTATGCTTCATAGGGTTTGCTTCGCCTTCACAGGTTATATTGCTATTTAAGGAGACAAATTCCTCAGTTCTCTAAAAATGCCTTTCTGAATAAGGCACCTGCAGCCTTTTTCCTCCTGTCTTGCTCCCTCTCCAACTTAACCACCTAACTAGAATTCTGGTTTGACTTTTTGTTTGTTTGTTTTTCAGTGACAGAACTGTGAGGATCTGGAAAGCTCGGAATGTGATAGATGGACAGATCTCTGATGCAGGAGATGCAAGTGAAGATCTGGCCAGTAACTGAGAAGATGGGCATAAATAAAGATGTTGATGAAGTTGAAGTGCACCCTATGCAGTTTGCTGTATACTTATTAAGTGAATGCTGATGACTGGAATGAGCTGAAAAATAAGAGTGAACTCTTCTACTAGACCTGCTGTCCTTAAAGTATGTACTGTATGTAGGGAAAACAAAACCCAAGGGTAGCATTCTTGTATCTCAGTGATCACGTATGTATGTCTATATATAATGGCTGAATTTGTGTGCACTTGTGTAACACTTGCAGTTTGAATTAACTGGAAGTCAGTCTTCTCTAATGACCATCTCAAAATTATAACCAGGAATATATTAAAGAGTGCTCTGCTGTATTTCACCCACAAGTATGATCAGCTGTGTCGCATTTTAGGGTAGCGAGGGACTGATGATGTCCTATTAATAAGCCTTTGATTATGACAGGCGTTGTTTCAAGATTTTAAAGGTCACTTGCCCTGTTGTTAGGGAAGTGAAGTGAACAGGAGGAAGCTGCTGGGGCAGATCGTTCTGATATGTCTGTGTCCTGCTAACAGCAAACGCTACATGAGTTGTGCTAACCTTAGCGTATAATCCTTGTTGACCAAAGCTGTGCAGCTGTGTACACTCCGTGCTCAGGACTAGAACTAAAATGCTCATAAACTGGTATGTTTTATTAGTGTTTTGCCTATAATCTGTAATGACTAGATGTTCTTAATGTCATCACAGAAGTATACCTTAATCTATTTTTCTTATGAATTCGTTTCTATCATCTCACATTTTCTTTTTTTTTAAAGCAAAATATCTTTCCTTTTTATCTAATTTTATATGCTGCTAAATGTATTTTAAATACACTGTTTTGCAAACCTTGGCAGTTACTTTGAGAACTGAACCACGTGTATTGGGAAAGCTATGTAAATAGATGGTTGTATAAAGAAAATATCTTATCATGTGCCTGTATGACTTTTAAAGTTCCTAGAATGTGGATATTGAGGGAGGATGTATAATTTAGCCAACTGCTCTGAATATTAATTTGTAAATTCTGCAGATTTTAAAAACTTATGTAGATTCAGATACAGTGTTTGGATGTTTTTTGTTGTTGGTTGTTTTGTTTTGTTTTTCCCCAGAAAAATATGTCTGTAAATTATAGCTTGTGTAGGTAACACTTAAATAAAGATGTGAATGTGAACTATTTCTCTTTGTGTTTTTCTTCATAGTTCCTTATAAACAGTTCACTTGCAAAGGTTCCACATGTGAAAATGCACAATGTTACATAATACAGTAGAATTCCTTGCTGGGTAATAGAGCCCATGGGTTGGTATCCCAGTGCTGTCTTCTTGTTAGCCATTATTTCTGTTCAGTGGTACTCAGGAACTCTAGCAGGATTCCCTTGTACCAAGCACAGTACTGACTTCAAATGGAGCAGATGTGCCCTGTTCTCAAGAGATCATTTCTTCCCTTATTACACAGTGCCAAGCAAAGAGAAGCTCTGAAGCTCCTAACTCTTCTTTGAGAAGATCTGATTTCCTTCTCAGCTCAGCTGGAAAGCAGATGAAACTGCATACTCCGTGTGATTTAAGTCTGATTTAGCGCAGGTTTTGGCAGAAATAAGTAATGATATGTATTGTTAAGCAGCATACAGGTTAGGAGTTAAAGCAGTCAGTTTGGTATTGCTGCCCTTTACCTCTCATGCTTCTGAGGAATTTAAAAGGTGCCTGCACACACGTGTTGTTTGGGACCTGAGGAAATGGAGTGGATTTATGTGCAAGAGGCTGTGCCTGGTGCAGGGTTCCCCTTCTGCCTGGCTCAGGCATTGGTGCATGTTTGGGTTCTCTGGGCAGCCCATGTCCTCAACAGGGCTGCTGTTCTCCCAGTCTGTAGTTCATACAAACACTGTGGTTTTCAACTACTGTTTTTTTAAAAGTCTTTATAAGCCTAAGAAATTGCTGCTTGCTGTCAGGCTGTTCTGTCTTAATGGACCATATGGTGAGGGTCTGTTGTTGCAACAGTCTGAGTTACAGATGCTTCTCTCTGGTAATGCTTGAAAACAGACATTTTGTTTTATGAAGCTATCTTGTGGTTAGCACCAATATAACTCTTTGATAGCGTGTGTATAGAAAGTTATTTTTTCCTCTGGGAAGACATCGCATCAAAATGAACCTTACTGTACAACACAGGCTTATCCTGGAAGTTCTCACCATCAAATAGTAGGAGGAAATTTGCCATTTTGTAAAGGTCACAGTTCCAGTTCTTGTTTAAATGGATATTTCTTCTACTGTGTTGGTTTTTCTCCTGATGTTTCATTTTAGTATAAAGTTGTGTATCTGACAAATGATAAATTAGAAAATGGTAAACACAGGGCTCTGGAGAGGGTTCTGTAAAGAGAGAAGAGTCTCTGGGAAATAATTTTTGGGAAGTCTTGGGAAAATGACCCTCTTTCAAAGCTGGAGTTGAGAAATTTATCAAGGTTTGTGAACAAATTTGTCACCAGCCCTATCTTATCTGCTGCTTAATGATTGCAACGCCACATGTTACCATAGCCTGAGTTTCTTGGGCTAGATTTGAGAAAACGTTGGTAATGTCTCATTAATAATCAGAACAAGATAATTGAGATGTGTGTTGTGCCTTGGCCTGGTATATAAGGCTGCAGGCTGCGGCCAGATGTCAGCGTTCAGTCATGGATGGGGTCAGGGGGCTCTGGCTCTTGGTCACCGTGCTGGCAGGTAGGTGCAAAGGACTTCTTTTTGTCACAGGACTTAAAAGCAAGATCTAAACATGGCAACAACAGGAAAGTTATTGGGGTGGGAGCTCTTTTCACATGGAAAAGGAGAAGTCAGGCGTAGGCTGAACTCCACCTGAGGTGACTCTATGGGAAGGTAACAGTGCTGGCTCATTTTATAAATATACCCCAGTCCAATGGTGCATTCAGCTCTGGGGTACCAGAGCAGATGGACTGAAGTCATTCAGCTGCTGAAAGGTAACGTTACCTTGGATAATTTGCTTCCTGGCATTTTTTTACCTGTGTGTATCGGTGGTGAATCAGTCTGGGGTCTAATAAGGAGAGAATAGAGCTGATTCTCATTATGTTGAGAGATAAAGGTAGAGGGAAACAGCAAACGTGAAGGTGAGCCCAAAATGCAAAGGCTTTTACTTGTGAACTAGAAGGAATGTGGTGATTTTTAACTCCTTGCTCACGCCTTATTGCAGCGCCTTTTAACAATTTCGTAGAAGTAAAATAAGGGTTTTTAAAAACAAACAGGAATGCTTTTTCATTTCTATCTTTCAAGCTCCCTCTCTTTAGCTTCTGTTCCCATGGAAATTATCAGGGAAAAGGAGCACGTAGCCCCAGCTATTGCTGAGTTTGGCTGCTCTTTTGCATTTCATTTCAACACATGCTTACAAACATAGGGAATAAGTGCAGGGGAAAAATGATGCAAAGGCCTTAAATTAAAAATAAGAGGAAAAAAAAAAAAAGGGTAGAAGGAGGAATTTGCACCTTTCCCTTGCCATTATGCTGTATGGATAGCAGGAATTTAGGGAACAAGATGTGAAGGAGGCAGCCTGATTCAGCTGCTCAGACCTGAATATGCAACCAAAATTTCCAGGAGAGCTCCAGCTTCATGCAGAAGGGGAGCTTTCTAGGCTCCTACAGAAGCAATTTTTTTTTTTCATCAAACTTTCCATTCACAATGTCCTTATGAAGTGTTTTGAAGACATTTCGTGATAGAAATAAGTTGATAAGAGTCTCCTATGAGATGTTAATAACCTGCTCTGGTGCGTTCAGTTATGTTGCAAGTAATGAAAAGAGTGAAATTTGATTCCTACTGGGAAAAAATAGTGAAATGTGATGGTTTTACTCTGTGCTCCATCTGCCCAGATGTTAACTGGCACGCGTGGGCTGATTTCACACTTTTGCTTCATATGCACCTCTATATCATGCACCATTGTGTCAGGCTGCCCCTCTGCTGTCATCTGTCACACGGCAACAGAATGCAATGAAATACTGAAGGGAAGGTTCAACCCCTACTGCTGTGCCACCACCATCTGCCTCTGATGTTGTGGGCAAAAATGTGTCATTGAAATCCTCCATGCAGAAAAAATGGCACCCATTGACATTTATTGATGCTTGCTGATCATTTATGGAGACCACCAGTGGATGAGAGCACTGTAAGGCAGTGGGTGGTGTGTTTCAGCAGTGGCCACATGAGTCACCTATGCTGCTGTAGATTTTTATGAGTATGGCATGCAGGCTCTTGTTCATTGCTGGTGATGGTGGATGCTGATGGTGGTGACTGTTGAAAAATGGACTTTAGTAACCGAGAATTTGCTCTATCAAACAGTGTTATTGTGCTTTTTGTAGCTGTTGTGGTCTCCGTGGAAATAGATAGGGTGCATTACTTTCAGAGCAACCTACAAAAACTCTGACACTGCCAAATGATGCTATTTTCTAGTGAACCCACAGTTTTATGCTGTAATTTTTTTCAGTATATGTAAAAATTGCTTGTGCACATTTTCTTGTGAACTTCATTATATTGGAATACTTCGGACTGTGTCAGCAAACACTTTTTAAGCTTCCAGGTACACACCAGTCCAGGTAAAAATTGTGAAAAGTGAAGATGACTGTCATGTTGTGGAAAAGAAAAATTATTTTTCAAGTAGCTTTAGTCTTGAGTTTTCATTGAATTATTAAGGCTGGAACAGACCACTGAAATCACTTAATCCAGCTGTCAACCCATCCCCACCAATTCTGCCCACTAACCATATCCCTCAGTGCCACATCTCCATGTTTCTTGAACACCTCCAGGGACGGTGACTCCACTACCATCCTGGGCAGCCTGTGCCACTGCCTCACCACCCTTTTGGAGAAGAAATGTTTCCTCATATCCAACCTGAACCTGCCCTGGTAATGATTGAAAGGGCAGAAGTCAATTGTCAGCCCGCTACCCTACGCCGTGTGATAGGGGTGCCCTCAGTAGATCCCTGTGCAGGAGCCAGGCACTGGGACAGCAGTGGGTGGTCATGGGGACAGAACCTCTCGTTTTGGTCACCAGGAGGCATGCTGCTCTGATGACATCTCAGCCACGGGAGTTGTAGTGTTGGCCCTAAAGCGAGGCAAAAACACCTCATCAAAAGAAGAGTAACTGCAGAAGCTCTTACTGTTTGTTCTGTGGCTCTCTGTGTGTCATTCCACGCTCCCTGACCGCTTTTTGTCTCTTAGCCTTAGGCTGCAGCCATGGCTCCAGCACAGAGCAGTGCACGGTGCCAGCAGCAAGACGTGTAAACTGCCACCCCCAGCCCGGTGCGACCCAGCAGAGCTGCGAGGCACTCGGCTGCACCTGGTGTGCCACCGATGTCCCCAACGCTCCTTGGTGCTTCTTCTCTCAGGATAGCACCTATGGCTACTCACTGGCCAGGAGCATGGAGAAGACAGTGAAAGGCTGGAGGTAAGCTGGCAGTGAGCCGTTGTGCCTGAGTCTGGTGAGGGAGGGGGTGGCAGCTGTGTTTCTGTAAGCCATGTGCAGCTGGGGTTCTGCTCATGCCACCAGTGCATGGAAACCACACACTTCATAGAATCATAGCATCACAGAATCAGAAAGTTTGGAAAAGACCATCAAGATCATCTAATCCAACCATCAGCTCATCCCCACCATGCCCACTAAACACATCCCTCAGTGCCACATCTCCATGTTTCACAAACTCCTCCATGGACAGTGACTGCACCACCTCCCTGGGCAGTCTGTGCCACTGCCTCACCACCCTTTTGGAGAAGAAGTCGTTCCCCATATCCAACCTGAACCTCCCCAGGTGAAACTTGAGGCCATTATCTCTTGCCTGTTAATGGCAAGAAGAGCCAAGCTAACAATATAAGACTTTGTCATCTGATTTTTAGCCTTAAATTTCAGCAAACCAAAAGCTACTGCATGCTGCTGAATTCATCCATAGGGACAAAAAGCCAATAATCAGAGATAGGGGAAATTGTCAGTGCCGGGGCTGGAATAGGGGGAAAGACTTCAACTAAAATAAGAAATTGTTAGGTTAGATATTAGGAGGAAATTCTTTACTCAGAGGGCAGTGAGGCCCTGTCACAGCTGCCCATAGAGCTGTGGGTGCCCCATTGCTGGAGGCGCTCGGGACTGGGTTGGATGGGGACCTGGGCAGCCTGAGCTGCTGGGGAGCAGCCAGCCCACA